ACACTCACAGAAGAGGCTCCCACCTCAGCTGCACGTTGACTGACATATCTGGTGGCTTATCTATCTCTTGACCAGGTTGTTTGGTCCGTCGCTCCCCGAGAGGCTCATTCGCCCGGCTGGTTGGTCGGCCGGTCGGTAGTTCATTCGTTCGTCTGTTCATTCTTTCATATTCCCGCTTTTGCCGTTTAGCGTTTAAGATGACTCTCTTGGGTGCCATTCCGATACCGGCTCATCTTGAGAGGCTTCTTGCGGGCTTAACTCAAGTCCATGATTTTCTGAGTTGTCTCGTAACTCACGCAGGATACGAATCACGCACTCCGGTCGCCGGTGGCTGACAAACCACTTATCGCGCGTTCAGGCACGCTACGGCCATCATGAGCTGAGTTTGTTTGAAGAAGTCAAATAAAATCGACGGTGAGCGGACGACCGTCGCGACCCATGCCCTGGAATCATCTCGTTAGCCTTCGACACAATGAACTCAGTTGCCGTCGATTAGGATGTCGGCTTCGTCGATAACGGCGACGATCGGAAAAACGATAATTAAATCCACCGACAAATAATGGCGGTCCGACGACGTGTGCGTGTGTGCCTATCTCCGGTAGCGGGTTCTTTATCGCGTGCGAAAACCGCGGCGTTTTCCGAACTATCTCCTAATTGACCATCGGCATTTACCGCATTCGACGAATCCCCCGATTTCCCCCTGTAAATTCGGGATATCGGCGCAAGGCGCATGAAAATCAGGCGGCCGAAGGCTATAGCCTGCTCATGATGGTATCCAAAGGTGCTCCATGTACGCAGAACCGGGAACGTATGCACCGAATCTGGACGCTCATGACTTGGGCGACACGGGGTTCGCGAGCTGGTTCCTCGACAGCATCTCGGTACGACATTGATTCCCCTCAGAGGATTACGGATCAGATTTGCAACGAACAGCAGCCGCTTTCCTTCCAACAATCACCTTTCCAGCTCTTCCGCGCAGCAGGGTATATCCTCCTTTGTACTGCTCCGCGCATTACCGATTCAACGGTTCGAATGAGAGGAATCGCGATAAGAAAGCAAACCTTTGAATGGACTTCAACGGAGGAATCTCCGGGCGGGAACGTCTGGGATCCCCGCGGACTGGAATCAAGCCTGCGATAAGCAAGTGATTCGAATTGAATTGAGTCCAGCTTGGGAATAAAGATTCAGCGGTTTTGGAACGGTCCGGAATAAATAGGGTCTGGATTGCGGCACACAAAAGTTCCAGCCATGGTCAACAGGATCGGGAAATATAACCAGAGAACTTCCATACAGGAAGAAAACAGTCGAAGTACATACATATTTCTAAATCTCCGTCGTGGGGCCATCTTTTTTGAAGTTTAGTGTTATGCGCTTGCGTTTCCTGAATTGGACAGAAGTCATAGCAGCGACATTCATCATTCTTATCTCTTTCGATTTCCACTGTTTTCCTGTTGGGCAGACCCCAAAACAGACGAGAAGCGCGCAACGGGACTTGACATGACCGGACTCATTTCACTCGTCGAGGCTATTCTGTGAGATAAAAGTGAAGTTTCCCACCCTCCTCGGTCTGTTTAGGCAGTGACGGCGAGCGTCTTTGCCGTGGCCAGTAATGTCGTTTTCTCGTAAATTTCCTCGGTGCGCGGAGCTTCCCGTCAACGGAAGACGAGAAACTCACGGCATAAATCCCGCTTGACTCGCCCTGGTCGTGAGGTGATAAATCAGAAGCGAAGTGTTAGTAGATCCATTAACCCCTCGGTCAGAAAATCTCCTCATCCGAACGGAGACGTTTCCTTGATGAAGTCATCAGATACTCTGATTGCGCAGCGAGCGACCACCTGTCCGGGGAATACTAACTCTAACACACACGAATCCCATTAACTTTGAGATCGAGTGGATCTTTAGGTTAGCCGTCGCGACGCCATTTCACGTCGGTGATGGACGATGCCTCGCTGCTCCGCCTGAATATAATAATCTTCTAATCTCCTTCGGAAGCCAATGGGTGGGGTGAGCGACAGAAATTCTCGCGGCGCGTGACGGATCGACGAAGACTCGGCCTTGCGTGCTTTTTATTAGTCGCCACACGGGCCAATCGATTGAGTGACAACCCGGAATCGCTACGTTCACATGACCTACTCCACCTCTTAGGAGACGTCACCGTTTTTGAATGCAGTTGTCCATCGCTGTGGATGACAGGTTGCCGACCGACCGACTACATCGATCTTCGGAAACAACAATCGAAAGTCCTCCAGCCGCCAGTTTCTCCCTCCGAAGCGCTGTGCTGGAAGACCACAATTGTCGGAAACCGCGCTCCATTGATAGCTTTCAGGAAGTTATAGACTCGAGATTAAGCCTGAGCATTTCTGTTTCAGCAAAAATCACTTTCGAGAAACTGACAAACTTGGACTATGTCGGAACACCTTACTACTCGATCAGAAACCTGTCCCTCTACGAATGCCAGGGATGGTGTCGCGACGAAGTTGATTGCGTGGCTGCGGCTTTCTCGTTCGTGGTCAATCCATTAGCACCGATCCAGGAAACTACGTGCGTTCTTCACAACGATACTCAAGCAAGGAAGCCATCGGCGAACCCTCAGAAAGCGATCAATATGTATTACCTCGTCAAAACCAACGTCCGAACAGGTAAATTCAATGCGAGAGACCGGTTCTCCTCCGCGAACGTGTCCAATAGCTATCAGAGTCCAAGCTCTCCACATCTTTGGACTGGCTGGGTCAAGGTTAGAGATTCAAAGCAAGTTCGCCCATTATCAGAACAATTCGAACTTCCAGAAAAAGTCTGCAATCGTCTCTGGGCGTTCGAGCGATTCCCGAATAAAATGCTGAGAGGCTACGACAATGTCGCCATCTTTTCATCGAACCGGGAAAACTGCATGGCTGCGTGCTTGAATGAGCGGAGGTTCGTTTGTCGAGCAGCCGAATTCAACTCGATCACGTTCCAATGCCATATGAGCGAAACGGACCGACGGACAACGCCCGTCGATGATTTCATCGATGCTCCAGGAGTGGATTATTTCGAAAACGCTTGTCTCGATGGTAAGTCAGCATTTCCCCCGAACAGAATCCGTTCATAGGGAAAGTGATCCGGGAAAGTTCTCGTCGCCAGAATCAGAATTAACTTCGGGGAACTCACACCAAGCAATGAATTTCTTCGATCCTGCAGTCGATCAGGTCTGTTCCGGCGTCAGGATGTACGACATCGCGAAACTCGGTCCCGCGCAAGACGTCATTACGCACTACGTCGATTTGAACTACTACCCCGATAAGGAGCTCCTGGTTTCTTCGAAGTCCGAATGTCTCCGTGCATGCACCATGGATCGAGATTTCCTCTGCCGCTCGGTGCTCTTCAAGCCCACGGAATCACTGGGCCAGAACAGCTGCTCGCTCTATCACGTCGACCACGTCATGTTCCCGGACGGAGCTCAAATCTTCAAGTCGATGAGTTCCCAGCTGCCCCTCCTGGATACCGGGGAAACAGTTGGATTCTACATGGAAGCCAACTGCGCGAACCAAAGTGAGTGATTAAGATCCGCCATGCAGAAATCTCGCGAAGCTCCTATTCCGGAACAGCAGGTTAACTCCTGACTTTTTGACCAGGTGACACTTTGTCGAAACTGTCATCCGTGACCAAGAGACCAACTACAACCACATCGAAAGTCGAGCAAAGATCTACGACCAGACAGCCCTCCTTGACCAAAGAAGGTTACGACGACGGCGCGTGCGACTCCTACGGAGTTTGTTACGATGGTAAGCCCGAGCTCGCTCCCGAAGAAGTGCGCTGGGAGCGACGAAGTCCTATGTTTGAGATCAGAGATCTAAGAGCTTGTCGATTACAGTTTCGATCCAGTGTACTGACCAGAAGATCGTCGTCGACGTCAAAACCAGTCGACCCTTCCACGGTAGAATTTATGCTATGGGGCGATCGGAGACCTGCAATACGGCAGTCAAAAACGGACAGAACTTCAAGCTTGATCTACCGCTGACGGGTCAGGAGTGCAACACACAGTCGCTGGGTGGCGTCTACACAAACACGGTCGTTCTGCAACATCACAATGTTGTTCTCACGAAGGCCGATAAAGTTTACAACGTTCGGTGTACCTACGAGACCTCGTCGAAGAATATCTCTTTCGGAATGATGCCTGTTTCCGATATCGATATGAGAGACCCAGACAACGGACTAGCCCAACAGATTACCGCTTCGCCTGAAGCGCCAGTTCCTCGCATTATGATTTTCGGAGTTGATGGTAAAGAAGCGACGACAGTCAGGATAGGAGACAAGCTTACATTCAAGATCGAGATTCCTGGAAACAGTGAGTGTTTTTTCGCCATACGACGAGGCATGGAATGACTTCCCTGACGTTTCCGATATTTCCATGCGGCGCGGCGGAGCAAGCGCTCATGTCGAATACTCTGTTCTGCAGCTCCGTACGGAATCTTCGCTCGCAGCTGCGTGGCCATGGCCAAGGACGCAAGGAGCACATTCGAGATCATCGATGATAGAGGATGCCCTGTGGATCCTGCTATATTCCCACGCTTCCGTCAGGTAGACTCCGCCTTGGAGTCTAACTATGAAGCTTTCAGGTTCACAGGTGAGGGAATTAGACAATCTCTGCCTCGCCAGAACCGACGTTTAGACATGGCATCCTGGGGAAGGAAATTGACCACGATATTTGTTTCCACTCAGAATCCTATGGCGTTATTTTCCAATGCAACGTGAAGTACTGTATCGGAAAATGTGAGCCGGTCGATTGCGGCGCCGGTAAACCTTCATGGGGACGCCGAAGAAGATCGATCGAGGATAAAGAAGAAATGACTCTGAGCCAAGAGATCGTCGTTCTGGACCTTCAGGACGATCCACCCCCCTCCCCGAGTTCCCAGACTCAACACCGAGAGAAAGGTAGGTTTTCCCTTGTTGGTCCCTCGACCTCGAAGGATCTCAGCGTGAAAGTTTGGACAATGTTTCCCCGTCAAGTTGTTTCATCTCGCTGACTACGCGACAATGAGAAGGTGTTGCCGTTTTTCCCCAATCCCTGCCGGTTTTCTCGCCGCCCCCGGCTTTGTGGTGTAGAAAACGGTCTACTGAACGGAACGTGAAGCCTAAAAATGTTGCAGATCTTCACCTTCGTTTCTGAGAATCTGCTGTCGTCACGCTCTGAACGTGATTTTCGCCGACCGTCTCATGGTCCAGGCTTCGAAACAAAATGACGGGCCGTTCGAAATTAAATCAAATCCCCGGCCTTCCGCGGACACTGAATGGTCGTTGCCTTGATTCGATCGAACGCTGCGATTGAGAAACTCTGCCTTTCTTTACAGTGCTCATCGAGAGCCGAGTCCTCGAGGAGGGGCAATGCGCCTCACGCACGTCTCTCTACGTGCTGGCAATCACGACCTCGGCGATGCTCGTCAGCTACGTTGCAACGGTCGCCTACTTCCTCAGTCAGAGACGGCTGAACTCGAAGCATTATTCCTAGAATCACAAACTATCGCACTGTACATATCACCTATTTATTTAACTTATTTATTTGACGCAGATGGAAAAAAACTCTATTTATATTCCCAAATGTGTGTATGAATAAAGCCCTGTGAATTCCCTTCATCATCGTTTCTTGACGTCTCCGGGGTTATTTGCACGATCCGAGATTCTTTATCGTTTCTGAAACTTTTCAATTCAGAGCCGAGTTTGACCCATAAACCTCCAAGATCGTTCTTGAGAAGTCCAATCGTGGGCTGATGAGCTCTTGGATTCTATCCGCGATCCAGCAAACGCAGATCTGCAAGGAGAAACGCTGCTGGCAAATGTACGCACAATCGGATCTCATCCGAACGCTTCCCTCATTTAGTCCACATGGTGTTTTCTGACTTACTAGGAAGGACTTCAAGAACCGCAGCCAAAACGTCTCTGTGTCCGAGATCTTCTCGCAGCCCCGATCCGAATAATGTTCGGGAAGAACCAGAGCTCCTATTCAATGAACGAACGAAATCAGTTTATTCCGGGTAAGATTTGACTGATTGTCAGAGGACTCCGCTCCAGATCGAATACCATCCCCTTCCAGAAAACTCTCCAGAGAAGCTGTCATTTCCCGCACAACTCCGCATTTTCTAATCTCTATCGAGAAACGCCGCGTTCCAGCCCGCGAGTCTCAACGCTCGCAAGCTGATGAGATAACCCTGTTGGTTGAGGAAGCACTTCAAATCTCTGCGGGATAGGCTCAGAGATGCAGGCTCGGGGAAACGCAAGAGCCCGACATTGGGAGCTCACACAAAATCGCTAATCCTATGGGCGACCGGAGGCTAGGTTTCTATCACAGTTTCTATACGCCATCGCCAGTTGACACATTGTTACCTCTCTGAAGTTATATCATCTTCAATGGGCTTTTCGTCCGACCTGCTCCCTCCCTCCATCAGCGTCTACCATGCCGCTAGCAATAGAGCTGTAGAGCTCGATCGGGCGATCCAAGAGTCCCCTTACGTGTGCTGTTCTACTATCGCAGGTCGAGTCGCAACTCTCACTCGCACTCCCACAAAGGCTGTGAAGAGCTACTACATCCTAGTGGCGGCCGCCACCGGATCCATCTTCGAGTCCCGAAGACGACTTGCGACCCGCCCGCGCGGAGCTAGACGTGCAAATAACTTCACGATTTCTCGGAGAGGCTTCGAACTTATCTTCCGTCTCAGGGGCGTGTTCGGTAGCTCTCATCTCCGTGAGAGCCCCGAGTGCCGAGCGCCATCTCAGCGCCGAATACTAGTATCGCCCATCATGCCTAAGCCTAGAATTGAAGTTTAGAGCTGGAGAGAAGAAACCCAGGGCCGAAACGACCGGTATGTAGTTATAAAACTCTCTCCTATATTTATTTACAGAGACGTATGTACTCCAAGCTTCTCGATTCTTTTCAGAAACATCCAAATTCTTGCTTAATAAATAAGCGTTGCATCCAGAGATGAATCGGCGACAAAATTGAACGTAGATTCTGAGCGATAAGTGCTTTGTCTCGCAAATGGGACGTTGACCTCAGCCATCTGACATAACTCTCGGGTCCAGCAGCCAAATCGATTCGGCGCCACAGAATCCGCGACGAAGGCCTCAGGAATTCCGAAGGACCGATTGAGACTTTCTCAGCTAGGTAATTGCACCCGGCACAAGTAGTCCCGGATGAAGCTCCGCGACAGTGAGCTCCTAGGAAGGCTCCGAATGCAAACTCCAATGAATGGCGGTTGACAGTCCCGAGTTCTAGGTCATAATCTAGATTGAGGTCGACAGGAAACATGTAGTGCCCGGATACCGAGAGTGCGTGTGCAGACACATAAAGCTTTTTATTTACATTCCGAAATTTCTCGGAGGAACGGGCACTTTCTCGGAACGTTGGGAATCGGGTGACTCAATTAAACGGACTTGGCACCGAAGCTCGACTCGAAGTCGCATCGCGCCTCCCGCTCATTGCGCAAACAAGACCATCCTATCACACACTCGCGCAACATGATTCCTCTCTGTCGGGTCATTCTTCAAAATAGTATTATCCGTGGCTCAATCGATCTGAGTCTCAGGGAACTCAGACATCTCTTGCCTCGAGAGCCTGGATCGACTTTTCAGGCATCAAACGCATCTTTCCGAAAATAATAATAAACATTATAGATCATATTCGATAAATAAGAGACGGGACACGCAATAGACCACATCCTGGGCTTTGAAATTCTAGAATCAACGTAAACGTAATAAATTACAGCGAAAACGCGGGAAATAGTGAGGACGACCTCGAGCCGTTGGACACCCGGCCGAGATATTCTGTCGTCATCACCGAAGGATGATGATCCTTCATGTATTGAACTCTTCTCTGTGACAGAGAAAAGATTCCGAGGCACACAGATAAATACCTTAGATTCGGATGAGGATAATTCGTTGAAAGACTTCGAACCAAATTGTCATATGTATGACGTCGTAAGTAAAGCCTCAAGTCCGGGGATTGATACATCTTGTGGAAATCCACAACGACGACGATAATCGAATCAAAGAACGGGAGCTCGTTTGCAAATGATTCTCTCTCATCGGGAATATGTTCCCCCGATCATTGAATGAAATAATTATCCGCCTCTGGTGCGAGACACGATCATCCTGACGGAAGTGGCCCATCAGTAACTCCTGCTGTTTTTAAGCACGACGCGAGAAAGCTTGTGAACGACTCGGCGCGGAGATCTACGACTCCGGAGGAGCAGGATTCGTCGATGACGGGTCCGAAGACGATGCTTCGGAAAGCGAACCGTTGACACCTGTCGGGGGTTCCGAAGAGCTTAGCATCAGCAGGTGGAACACGAAACGGTACTTGGATGTACAGCGGAAGTCTTGCGCGACTCCCAAGGAAATTTTGTTCGTTCCTCCCAGGGAGGAGGCACCCAAGAAGGAAGCGCTCCAAGAGAAAGATTCTCACCTTGACTCGTCCTAAGAACAGACGGAGAAGTCGCGGGGCCGGACTTCTTGGTTAACAAACTGTTGAAAAAATTGTGAAGCACTCCCTCGTTGCCCGACATGCCAGAGATTCCCTTGCCAGGTTCAATCTGGAATACGTAATATGGGCTTGAGCTAAATTCGAGCTTCATCGGAAACATACGAGAAACACCGACACCAGAAAGAGAGGAATTGCAGCTTCTCAGAGACGTGGAGTGAGAGAACCACAGCGATGAATACAGATATAGACTAGGTGATGGTGGATGCCGTTCCCTTTGCCTGCAGATGTCAGGTAGGGAACTATAATCTTCTGACTCGATATTGAGCTGTCCAGCCGAAGCTGCAACAGGCACGGCCACGAAGCAGACATCGTCTACTGCTGCTCCGAAATAGGTGCGCTTTGTGTGCACAAGTGCGAGGAACATAGGAAAGTTTGGTGTGTATACAGGGGTGAGGATAACTCGCTGAGTGAACAAACGTTTGATATTCATCACGACACCGAGTGCATTTACAAACACCGATAATTTTGTGCTGCCATTTTACCTGCGGCAGGTTCTTTAGGGAGAGTGGAAGATCGTCCTACAAAGCGGTTCATGTGGTTAACTCAATGGAATAAACTAAAGCCACGTATAGAATCGGATAAGTCGTCATACGGCGTGGTTTCTCCTAACTCAACACAGTTCCGAGAAAGAACCAAAAACAAAAAATAATGAGGACAGGTCGTTCAATTCTTCAAATAGATGCTGAATGCCGAGTCGATGGGATGCGAGTCATCGCAGCACATTGGGTCGCCTAACGCGACTCGCGTTAAAGATTCGACAGGGGAGGATAAGCCTCCGCTCAGGCGATTCCTCACGCATCGCGAGTGGACTTAAGCCAGAGATAAAGGAGTTTTCGCCACCTTTACGCTTGATCAAGTCATCGAGAAATCCTAGGCAGAGCAAGGAATACTCTGCTTCAAGAGAGGAAAGACCTCGGCGAGATTCTCGATCGACGAGGTATTCCTCCGCAGGGAGACCCTTGTACGGACCTTTTTTCCAGAAGTCGCTATTCCGGGACCAGTCGAGGACCGTCGCTCAGTTTTCAGCGGTGTCTGTAAATTAGGAAAAGCTCAAGCACTCGGCTGATGGGAGCTTATGCAGGCAGTGCGGATCGTGAATATCAGCCAGAATATTCGACCGACTCCCGACATGCAACTCGAGGTCCAGCAGAACATTCAGCGTCGCTCGAGCCGCATATTATACTCTATATGTGGGAGCTCCCTCCGCTTCGTCAGTTCTAAGTGAGCTTGGATCAGACGCCGCTTGCGAACCGCAGCTTGACCATTCCTTATCTGAGCAGGAGAAAGCAACAAAAGAGATCGTCTTCCCCTTACCGTTTTGGTTCCTGTATTATTCGACGAGATTTGTTGCAGAGCGACATTGAGCTTGTCCAAAAACCGTTGGTCATCTTCGGCCTGTACTTCGGGTTCTCTTGATATGGGCTGGAGGGCAGAAAAAACCGGTTGAGGCTCTGCAGCGTCTGCTGACAGGATTCTATCTGAACCCTCTCTGAGAGTTCTCGGGTGGAATCGATGCGAATCGTGAGCTCACCTTCCGAATGAGAGGCTTCATAATCACTTCCGAGAAGCTATCGTCAGGATTTGCAGATTTGATATTTTCATACAAAATTGCGATTTTGTTCTCGCTGTCCCATCCCGACGGACTGGAAAGGAACGGAAGGTTCTGTGACTCTGAAAGACATCATAAGCGACGGCGGGTACATCACTTGGGTTTCGACTCTGATCGGCAAGGTGTCCACGAGGATCATAATACGGTGCCGCGAGTTTCCGTCAATGATGTACATCCTGACATTTGTCGATTGTGAACGAGAACTTCTGCCTATCTTAAATCGATGGGACTCACATGAAGACGCTTTCCTTTTCAACAACGAGACCCGGTGTAACAAATTTGTGTGGGACTCCGTACACTCTATGTGAGATGTATTTGAACAAAAGGTCACAATTGTTTGCTTCTTTCGCCGACGTGTACACTAAAGCAGCCCCGTACCGCAGACAGAACCGTCGAACCCATTGCTGGATGAAGTCGAAATGCTCGTCACGGTACTCGTGCTCCTTCTCCAGAGAAGGCATTGTGTCCGTCTGCGGGGAATGAGGGAGTATTTAGAAGTTTCCGAGGGTCGGGAATAAATCTTATCACGCAAGAAAATCATCTAGACCAAAGCTCTTCAAGCTTCCAGACAGACCCACCTTCGTGATAACGACGACCATATCAAGCCCGAGATTATGAGATAATGTCTCTTCTCCCAGGGGAAGAAATTCCTTGTCGTCCTTCTCGTGTAGTGATTCGCTTAATAATGTCTGTGCAGTTGACGAACGTCTCATGGGACTGCTATCGCCTGCCACATCGTCCCCGGGGTCCGTATATTCCTGAGAACGAGTCTCCCAATGAGCTCCGAGCGCGACATTCTATCGCACAACTCATTTCAGCTCAATTCTGAGGATTCATCCTAGAAGCTGGATGCTTCCGCATCCCGCAATTCAAAGTGGAGCCGAGACTAACCTGGAATCTCCGTAGAATTCTTTTTTTACACTTGCCCACGTACTCCGGACTGAGTTTTAATCGAGAAATGTGCTCTTCTAAGATGTTGGCCCACGATTCTAGTGATGACGCGATACTCCAAGGCGTTGCCATCGAAGCCGTGAGAACCACCATTGAGTCTTCCATCAGGGGATTCACTTCGTTCAAGGCGAAGCGTAGTAGATTACGATGCCAAGGGTCTCCGTCCAGAACCTAGTCTCGCGAAATGAGCCATCGTCAATTTCTCGGGGATCGGAATAATTATTGTCCGAGTGAGAGAGATGCCTCATGGATATTCGGAAACTCACCCATACGCCCAATCTCGTTGTATCCTCGGTGTAATCGTCTTTGATGAGGAGATGATGGTATTCCAGACCGGACCCCCGTTTCGGATCCTCGACACCTGCGAGTTTCCCCATAAGCGTCGTTTTCCCGACCTCATTATCACCTGTAACCATGGGAGAATAGGCTTCATGACTCCGACAAGAGGAGGGATGAGAAGGAGTAATTGATCGTCTCGCAGCTTAACGAAGACCATCATCCCAGTTCCGGACTGCCAAGCACGTCGGGAGGATCATCCCCAAAGAGGCAAATTGAGGTTTCTCGGTTTGAACGCCCCTCGGAACGAATCGTGAACCTACTCACCCAAAACGAGGAGGACTTTTTGGGAAGGGAGCTTATTTGGTTGACTGCTCTGGACCTGTTTCAAAATCGAGGACCTGAAATATTCGCAAGTTCGGTCAAGCTTCATATCGAGACATGAGAATTCCTTGAACGAATTTCGGAAGAGGGGGAATCAACCGTCAAGACCCCCGGAAATTTCCCCAACGCATGAAAATGAATCGCGAACAGAAGACAGACTGAACGATCCCGTGGAGGAGCAACTCCTGTATGACATACCATTCGGTCGTGGAGCTGCAAAAATCAAAATTTGACTCTCGAATGTCTCTCTTTCACGATGGATTCCCCATAACTTCGGCGCAAAATCAGAACGATGGTGCCATTGATGGCTTTGTCAATATGAGTTTCGGCTTGTCGAGATCACGAGAGTACTAGCATTTTACTGATTTGAGAAATCCTCCCTTCGGCTCTTGAAAGGTTCCTCTGAGCTGCGTATTCGAGGGGCAATCCGATGTGCTCCACTCTTCATCAAGGAGCGCGTCTGAACAGCTCGCTCCGACCCCCGACTGCGCAGGTTTCAGATACCGCTCATACCCCGTTAGAGCCCGTAGGTTCGCCGCCGCCGCCGGCTTGGAATGCTCATAATGAAGAGATCCTGAGAGCGAATCCAACCGTCTTTCCCAACTCAGGAGCTTATGCTATTTCAATCGTTCATCTTAGTTCCGGTGTTGACAGTGACTAATCGGTCTCGGATGAGGATTGCATATTCTGATCGTGTCGGATAGCCTGCTTTCCATCTATTCGGAACTGAGAATTTCGGAGCCGAATCGCCGAGTCCTTCGCCGATTGATCGTCAGACTCGGCCGAAACTTTCAGCTCGATAAAATCCAGAGTCCTATTTGTACCTCTCGACTGCACCTGTGGGAAAGTTGAACCTCTACATGGAGTGGAGCCGGAGAAAAGTTCCCGCGGCTGGCCCTTTCACGGGACGACCCGAGGAATCACGCGGAGGTCCTGTCAAGCTCCTTGCGTGTTTGAGGGAGCGTTCACGTAGCATTTAGAGCAGGCGTACGGGAACTTCACTTGCTCACGTCACAGCAACGCCCCAAAACTTCGAATATTGGCAAGTCGTTTTCTTGTCTCTCTTTCGAGTTCAGATATCGGATGCGGGACTCACCAGATATTCTGAGACTCTTCACTTTCATGAGTTTTGTCGTCCATTGTGGTGTCCCTGCTGGAATGTGTGGAAACTAAAGATGAAGCCATACTTCGAAAGTCTCCAGCACGGGACGCTGATTGTTGCTCATGAAGTGCGACTGTGCACGGCCCGAATCGGAGAGGCGAGGGCGCCAAAATTCGAAAGGCGAACCACGCAGTAGTCGGTCGCCTCTTGTATCCTCAACGATTTCAGGCATCGGGATGGAGAGCCGACTACAGAAAATATGAGGAAGTATTAGGAAGTACTTCGACAAAAATCTTCTCAGTAAGAGATCGGACATTTCAGATTTGATATAGCCGATTTTTGATCGGGAGGCAGAAAACGTCTGTCTCACAGATTCATTAGTAGAACCGTCCGTTCGTCGAGTTGTCAGCGGGTTCACACATTCTCCTGCTAACCTTTGTTTCCCTTCAAGAAATCCCTCGTCAGAGAGGGGGCAAGGCACCATCCTTGCTGCCAGCAAAATGTTCCTCTCGGAATTTCCTTGGGGCAGCTTGCTCCTCCTGAGGCCTTGACGCTCTTGAGTGCGTTCGCTCTCTGGATCCGTGCTCGAGAGCAATGAGGAAAAACAATACTCGGGCGACGGGGAAGATATAGATTCATTAGATGGATGTGGCTCCTGGAGCAATGAATCTGTGCAGTCAGTTTCACGACGTGGCGTGATTGATTGTGGGCGGCAACGGCGATTGGCGGCGGAAATTTCGGTGTTTCACGCCAAATATGAAGATTATTCCTCAGGAAGTCAGGGCCACTCTGGACATGGCGAGGCTCCGAGACAACGCAGAGGAAGGAGATTCAGTGGGAAGGCCCCTGGACTTGATGAGAAAATTGATCTCGATGTTTTTTTACGCTCCAGACGCAGGCTCGACGCTCGATCTCTTGCGAGGAAAATGTAGTGGAACAAGACGCCCCTTGCCTTGACAATGCTGCGAAAGCTCACCTTCTCATTGAAAGATTTGACGAGACGGCGAAGTCAGATAGCAACAGATCCCCGTCCTTGGCATGCTTCTTTCGAAACGAAATATCACGCAGAGGATCTACTCGAAACGTTGCAGACCTCTATGGAGGCACTTCTTGGGCCCCGTATCGAGGATATTGGAGACCTGACCGCCGATGGTACAGCTATGCAAATGCTTATCGTGATCATCCGTGTGCACGGTGCTTCCCATCGGAATGATTATCTCAACAAATACCAAAAACCAGCTGACGTCTCTTGTCTCTGATAGCCGCATGTATACGTACTCTGGATCAAGCAGTCAGCAACTCGGTATCCGCGAGACCTTCCTTCCTATTACTGTGTCTCCACTATTGTAGCGCAATCGCGATGCTCCTCGTCGTTCGGGATCTGCTGAAAGGAGTTCCCATCCCCGTCTATGTGAGAAGGCTTCTAGGGAGAAGACTCGGCGTCCATAAGTTTCGACCTGGAAGACAGTACGACTGACGACGATGAGACATGCTGGAGGAAGCGATATGCCGGCTGCGTCAGCCGAGGATGAAGCTAACAGCGATTAAAGATGAGAAGGCGAATCACCTGTCTACAGAATAAGGAAAATTCGCTGAGGATTCAGGGAAACGAAGAATTGGCGAGAAACTGCGCTTGCGAATTCTGCCTGACAACCCCGTACGTTGGAATAGCACCCTGGTCAAGCCCCAAAGTTTCTTGGCAGTGGAATGCGTTTTGAGGGAGATTAACCGTGCGACTCGAGAGATATTCTTATCACCAGCGGGTGAGCCACGGCCTGTGGAGTCGGTGTCGCCATGCCGGACTTCTTAAGGGAAGGGATATGCCTGCTCGACGCTTACTCGACACCAGCCGGCCGCATGCGCCGCTCTTCGTACATCTTGAAGATCGGGAAGACGAAGGCATAAGAGATGTACGGAGGCTTCATGAGACACATCGTGGCTGTGGCCATGTAATATTGGGTTACAAAAGACAAACGATGAGACTGATGCTCATCTTGATAGTACCATCCTGTCAGGAGTACCTCTGCCTGAGACGGTTCTCCAGTTCCCTTGTAGCCGTCATCAGGGCCTCGGACCGACGCGACGCCGAGGCGGCCTCAGCGGGTAAACAGGGGCCTGAGACCTCGTCGGTTTGCATAGGATGCGTGCAGTCAGTAGAGGGGAACTTCAACTCGGGTGTCGCAGGAGGGAAAGGTGGGAATGAGGGCGGCTACGACACCGCGACGTTGACCAAGTTGTTTGTGGCCTAGTTCGAAAAACTAAGAAAAAAACTCCGAGGAAAGATCCAATGACCTGCGGTCGATCACGAGCATAAACTCCAATGTTGCCTAGATCGCGAGAGGAGTTGTCTCCGCAAACAACAACTCGGCCGGCTCCTGCCTTCCGGTATGACTCCGAGAATCTGGAGGTAGAGCCCAGAGTTATATCCTGGAGAGACATATCCTGTTGATATCTATTACGAGAAATTGTGGTGTTGGAAGAGCGATAACCCTGAAAACGGAAGAGCTCCATCGGGCACCGAGGGAACGACACAGCTCCATATCTGACCCCCTGAGAAATTCAAGTATGGACCATTGTAGGACACGCTCAAAGCCAAGACTGCAGTGCGGATGATACCGAGCATTCGAGACTCAAGACCCTTCGAGCGGCGATACGCGGATCAGTCACGCGGCTGGACGTCTCGAGATCGATTCGCCGCTCGGATGACGTCGGCGTCGCTCGATCACGGCAGGTTGGAGCTGATTGGATTCAGGAAGAAGGATCTCTGGCCGTTCCCGCAGAGCAGTCTTTGGGGCAAAATTTCTGGGATGGGAGGCAAGCATGAACTCATGGATGCCCGCACACGAGATGAGCCGAATAATCGCACTTCTGAAGGATCACCGAAATAGATGAACTGATTTCAAGTTCTTCAATGCGACGAACTTTTCCTGTCAAAGGAAGACCCCACGTGGAGGGAATACGTGACGAGAACTGATGATCGAGGCCGGCGAAGCTGCGCTCGATAGAAGAAATGATCATGAATGTCAATTCTTCCTTAACAAAGCCGCAAGTTCCTCATAGATGGTCATCTCCAAGCGGGAGTTGAACAAGCAGCAATTGGAGCTCAATCCATGAATGACTGGTCAATGAAGACATGTGCTGATTGAATCGAGCATGGGAAAAATTGTTGCCGATATTGATCCTGGTTCGCGGTTCCGTGGGGTCGTAAGCAGCCAGCGGTCCGTCGGAGTTAAGCTACACGCATAGCAAGTCGCGCCGATAAATCCAATAGTCGGGACGGCGCGGCGGGGCCCTCGTGAATGGGGTCTCGCAGGCGACGGGTCGAGCCCGATCGCTCAAAAAGGGATGAATCGACAGAATCCGTACCCTAATCGAGACTCCGTAGATAAGCTCGGCTACCTACCCATCATCCAAGTAAGTGATTGATTGGATGGAAGAATGTGGCGACAAACAGGGGATTAATTTCGCGGCAGGTAGAATGTGATCTTACTCATTCGTCACGGATCCTCCAGCTCTCGAAGAATCCACGGTCCGTTCGATGACTGAATTATACGAAGATTCTGACCCCAACACGCGTCCTAAATCCCGACACGAGAGCTCACTCAGGAAACTCCCAAGTCTAGCATGCTTTATCGTTATCGGTGAGGGTGGATGTACGTAAGTGGGCTTACTTGGGCTCTCGTGGCGGGAGATTCTCATGGGAAGATATATATATCGCGGCGGGCGATTTTAGACTTTCACTGATACCTACTTCGAAGAGCCACCGTGCTGACAAGAGAGAGGGAAGACTCGTCGATCGGTGGAATCTACGAGCATCCTTGCTCTGTGCAGAAAAATTGTTTCCGATGTGACCTTGACGGGCTGCGTCAGAAAGAATTCATTTTGAGATGAGTTGTGAGAGAGATAATTGGCCGATTTCTTTTTCCTGCCGAGTTCATGAGCCAGTGAGCGAGCGAGTGAGTGAGTTGAGAGGGCTCGATTGGAGACAGCGCTGCATCGACGGAGCTCGATACGGAGGCCCTCGAGAAACATGTTGGACTCGTGGTGCTTCATCCGGACGCTGTTCTTCGTTTCCAACGGAATATGTGTTCTCGCCATATTGTCGTTTCTGGCGGTCTTGATCGTGGTGCGTGCACGGCAGGGACCGACGCGATCGAAAGCTCTAGCTTTTCCGCACCGTCTAGAGGAGATCCCTCTGGTCCGTCACTTATCGATACACTTTGCGATCTCGAGAACGAGTAAGGCTACCGGTATCGACTACAGTGCACTCTTCCTGAATTTTATCCTCGGTGAGGTTGAGCGATTCAGAGACAGTGGAATGATGGTGGTGTACCTGGGATCGGAGCCGAACTTCGTCTTGTTCCGGGCAGACCACGCGGAAAAGGCACTGAACAATTCGATCAATATCTCCAAAGGTCACGCATATAATCTTTTGCTGCCTTGGCTCGGCGAAGGACTCCTCACCAGCTCCGGGAAAAAATGGAAAACTCGCCGACGCTTATTGACACCGGCTTTCCATTTTCAAATCCTCGACGAGTTCTCCCTCGTCATCAATCGACAAGCTCAAATTTTCGTCGAGCAAATGTCTAAGAAATCACGCGACGACGATATCCTCCCGTACGTCGCAGCTGCAACACTGGACATCGTTTGCGAAACCATTATGGGTGTCAATTTGGACAGTCAGACAACCGGAGCTGGGAAAATATACCTGAAATCTATCCAGGCTCTGGGAGAGCTCTTTTTCAAGAGAGTCCAGTCTCCAGCGAAATGGATCGACTTCATTTATGGTTTGACGGCAGACGGTCGACAGAACGTCGGATATATACGGCAGGTGCATGAATTCACGCTCAAAGTGATCAACGATCGCAAGAGAGAGCTCACTGAAAATCCCGCGGAATTAGAGAAGCTTGCTTCAATTGACGGGAATTTGCTCGGCTCGAAGAAACCGTTCTTGGACCTTCTACTCGTAGAACACCTGAAGAACAAAACGCTTTCGGTTTCCGACATTCGCGAGGAGGTGGACACATTCATGTTCGAAGGCCACGATACGACAAGCATGGGAATCACATGGGCGACCTACCTCATAGGCTTACATCCCGAAGTTCAAGAGAAGATTTTCGAAGAAATGGAGTCCGTTTTCGGCGGCGACCATACGTGTACGGTGACGAACGAGCATCTGAGGCAACTGAAGTACCTCGACATGGTTCTCAAAGAGACTCAGCGAATCTATCCGCCGGTTCCGATGATAGCGAGGAGAGTGACCACAGAGTTCGAGCTCCTCGGTAAAACTGTTCCGACGAGTAGCGAGTTGAACATCAACATCATCGCCATGCACAGAGATCCGAAAACATTCCCTCGACCGGAACTTTTCATCCCGGAAAGATTTTCACCGGAGAGCTCAGCCAGACGATCGCCGTATGCCTTCATTCCATTTTCCGCAGGCCCGAGAAATTGTATCGGCCAGCGATTCGCTCTCATGGAGGAAAAAATAGTTCTTGTTTGGCTGTTGCGTCGATTCAGACTGAAGTCCCTCGTGCTCAGAGATGAAGTTCTCATGGTGGCCGAAATGGTTTTGCGGCCGAAGAGCGCTATCAAAGTCGAGTGCATTCCGCGGAATTTCGAGACAGCGTAAACATCCTTCCCCCTAGGCACCTTGTCGATACTACGTGGCTCGGACAAAAAATCTGAGTTGGGCGAAAACAGAGCTGGCAGAAAACTGGCTGCCGTGACTTCCTGATGGTGAGAAATAAAAGAGCCGCGCTATGTCATTATCCGCTGATACTGATTTGGGATCAGCTCTCTTCACGAATGATCAGAATCCCCGACCGACTCGAATACTTTCTCCGAACTCCCATACGGTCGACGGTCATCGCGTCCGCGATCTCCGCCAGCAATAACAATGATTCGAGTTATCATCTCATCTCTTCAATGATCGATTTCCTGCAAGACGTTCTTTGCCGTCCCTCATCCTCTCCGCGTTCCGTGGCACTACGCTGCTGCAGCCACTGCCGCGCCATCAGGGCGATAAGGGAAAAGATCCGATTCGTTGCGATTCCGAGTTATTCGCGATGCGCGGCAGGCGTGCCGCTTTGCTCTGAAATCGTTCAACGTCAACCCGTGATAAGCTCGGGGCTCTGAAAACGTGCCAGAGCCGTACTCTGAGCTCCGAGCCGAGAATCCTTCACCCGAAAAAACCAAACCACCGACCCAACGCGAGAAGTCCCTCGGTGACGATTTCCGAGAGCAATCCCCTTTGTCCGCTAAAGACTCCCCCGGTAGTCACAAGCTCGACTCTAATTCGTGAGGAGCGTCATTCGCTTGACAATTGAGGTGCATCGCATCGAGATCCCGTAGCCGGCTTCCGATAGAATCGGGATGCTACTAGACGTAGGATCATCTCGATAAGATTCGTCGGATATCGGACGCAAATGTCGCACTCCGGAAACATCTCCCGCGGCGGAATCTCATTCGAAGGCCCGTCGGTCGCAGGAATCGTTTGCGGCTTCGAGGACGCACCCCCTTGGCGGACGGCTCATTTCTAGAATTTCCATTCAACCGGAAAACTCCATTTTACTCGTTTCACATCTCGTACAAGCTCAATAACGGCTGCCCAATTTCTCAGGGCTCCGAAAAATTGCCCTCGACTCACAGACCGTCATGTAGCATGAATGCGAACCTGAAAAGGATTCTGACCCGTGCAACTACAATCGAGATGTCGGGTCAAATAGAAACTCCACTACTCCACTTATCTCTGAGATGCCGATGAGGGACTCTGGGATTCTGAACATGTAGCAGGCAGAGATCATCACCATCATCATCGGGGTCGGACACGGCCAAATCTCATTCGACAGCTCGGAATAAATCATTACGTGGGGTTATCTTCCAATCCGCTCCGCTTCACAATATCGCCATTCCATCGTCCAATCGAATTGCTCCCGTTACGATCAGTAAGTCATTCCCGAGCCGCGATTGTCAAACTAACTGAGTCGACGACATTTTCTCCTCGGGAACTTCCGTACCATCCAAGAGATATTATACAGCAGTGAACAGAACGGATCATTCCGGCCGAGGGTGGGCGGGAAGACCCCTGTGACCCCTGTCCATTCTTTTCAAGCCTTGCGGAGCCTGATGATGAACGTCGGGGTTTTCGAAAACACGGACGGGGCTCTCATATCGACACTTTCCGATCGATAAGCGCGCTTCCCGGCCGTGTCTTCCCTCCGAACGTGATCCGTTCGCCCATTCCGCTGCCTCCCATTCACCCTATCGTCAACTGAGCTCTTTCTCCACGGAACAGCATTTATCTCTGACTGAGAAACTCTCACAAACGCCTGTGCATAGACAGGATAGACATCGGCGCCGCTAGTCTCATCTAGCAGACGACTCGCGGGATGTCGAAAGAAAACAAACTTGCGTTGTGCGAAGCGTTCTCATGTGAATTAAAACTCCGGATCAAGTTGACGTTTTAGCAGCGAAATGCCGAAGGAGGGCAAACCGGATTTCTCAAGGGTAAAGCTTCATTAAGTTCAATCGGCGGTAGCTCCATCATAAATTCCCGCTGAATGCATTTTTGATCGTTCGAAAGTATTCCGAATCACTCGTATCGGTGCGCTCTGTTTTGTGTCGCATTTCGCGTCAAGTCTTCGAAAAACGCCTTAGATAATTTCGAATATTCTCTCGAGGCACCGCTCTTCCCTCTCCGAAAGTCCGCGAAAGTTCTTCACTCAGGCCAAATTCGAAGAGTTCCAATGATGCGGCACTGATCATGTTCCTGCTTGAGGGCGTCGTGCAGAATACAGCATATAAGCATGTAGTAGGTGGGGAATGTGGGGAAACACTCCTGATGCAGTACTTGCGGCATGAAGTGCCCTCAGAAGAAATTCCTAACGATCGCGAGCTGTCCTGAGGAAGGAATCGATCAGGAACTTCGGACAGATCCGGAAGCTTCTGATACGGAGACGAACGACCAAACGTTCCTGTATGATTATAAGGAGGAGTCGTGTCCCTCGATCAGCTGAGCCTCGGATTTATCCTCTTACGACTGATGATTCTTCGGGACGACACCGGAGAACACTGAGAACATAACGATGCATAGGTACCGCTCAAACTCCAGTCATCGATATTTTTTTATTCTTCAGCTCGGTGACGTACGGCGGTCATTCACGGTACAGGGCCAGCGAAAAAACTCCAAGCTGTACGTTCACCCGGAAGGTCCGTACAGATTGACGAATGATGATGAAACGCGTTACGGCAAATTCCTCATGGAACGGGTATGATGCTTCGGATTCGGAGAACTTACTGGAGCAGACGGAATTTGAAAGACTTATTTACCCGAGGCTGAACTTCATCCCTTATCTGCAGAACGCTGCGCACAAGACACAATCCGGAGAGACGCATGTCTATACACATTGCTACACATTCCGAAAGAAGTGTCCTGCCCGAGCAGTTTTCACCGAGGACGATATTCTCCTCAAGAACGGGCAAGAGCCACACAACCACCCCCCAGTCGACGATGAAGTCGATCAGTTTCGGCTACTGATGGAGTTGCGGAAAGCTCAACAGATTTGCAATGGGTCGGTAGATCTCCATTGACCTGATGAACCACCAATAGCTATGCTTAATGACCAACCGCTGATTGCTTTCACGTACCAGATCAGTGAACTCCACGAAAAGTGGTTGAATATTCACTTCTGCTTACAGAAATGCCGAGATCATCTTCCAATGTGAATTGTGTTCGAAGGACTTCAGCCATAAGAAATCTCTACTCGCCCATTACCGCGGAGCGCATCGTGTCGAACCGAGTAACTCCGACGGGGCTCTCCAGAACTATCATTGTGTGCACTGCGAGAACGCGGTGTTCGCTACTTTAACTCGACTGAGATGCCATTACGTCGACACACATCAGTTCGATCCCGTGACTCAGGTGTGAGGTCGGAGGTTTCCGATTATCGAGGCCGCGATCCGAGTCACTATCCCCTCCCCTATCTCACATTGCATTCCTTTCTCAGAAACTGGAGTTCGAAACTCTGCCCGCTTTCGAGCAATGGAAATCAGCCATCGAGCAGGAGACGGGAGTTCGTTTCCGTCGGCGGTGGGGCAGTCGCAAGAGGAAAGACGGATCTTTACGTTTTCGGTACTCCTGTCAGCACAATGACCCTTTCATGAAGGTGAATACCGACCTCTCGATTCGGTCTATTGATCTACCGATATCGTGTCGGCCGACTCGATTGCCGCTGGAGATCACCGAGACCGATGTTCCTCTTATTAAAGCGAGGTCTCTTCAGGGTTTGGCGAAACGAGGGATGGCTTGGTGTCCAGCTGAGCTCATGGTTGTCAAGGACGCTACCTCCGGGTGTGTTCTAGCGGAGTTCCATTCGTCTCATTACGGCCACGGCAGCGGACAGACACTACACGAAGTGCTGGTCGAGGGAAGCAGCGAAGAGGTCAAAACTGTTGTGGAGCATCGCGAGGAGGAGGTGCACATGGTCGTCGAAGAGCCTGAAGAAGATACGAGGGGAACAAAAGAGGTGGACGCCGAAAATTGGGTGAGCTTCAACTTTCTAAGAAAGACCTATCTCGTTTGCGGGCTTGTCTGCTCAAATAACTCTTAATAGTTAAATAACTCTCATCTCTTCCTGGAAATGACTCTTAATCGCCACGTAACGCTGCAGGGAAGCTCGGGAACCCAAGGGGTGCAATTGGTCTCAGAAGAAGGTGTTGGAGCAGAAGATACCGCGGTTCTGATACAAGAAGCTGAGCCGGTCGAGTACGAATGTGAAACTAGTCTTGAAGTACCGTACAAAACACAGACGCTCGAAGATACCGTGGGCTCCATGAAAGAATCCGTGGGTTTGACACAGGTGGCTGTCAAGCAAGGAACGACCTTGAAAGGATCGCAACAGGTAGGAAGTTGATCCCCCTTGGACGCTCATGAAAACGATTATTCGGATCGAATCATACGAGTTTCGTGATTGCAGGTCCAAGGAATCGCCAAGATCAATGAGCTTCTACAATTTGTGATAAACGTCGATCTGTCAGAGGAAGACTACACGCAGGTTTGTAAGATGAGGAGAATACGCTCCAAAAAATCGTGATTCTCGATCGAGCTGGCTCGGCTGCGCTCAGTCACAGGAATAAATCCGAATTAATCCTCGACAGTTCCACAATCTCCTCGACGCTAGTCTGATCATCTACAAGCGGAAGTTGTTGCAGAAACAGCAGTAGAAGTGCACACGGAGAGTAAGCGGTCATTGGTGACACGAGGGAAATACTTGCATCTGAATAAAGTCCTATCGTTGATCTGATGCCGCATCCGTCATTTTCCTTGGCGTCGGAGCGAGCTTCTGTTCCTCGGCTCTATCCTGAGGTGGTGGTACGTTGCGAAGGGAACGATTTCGCTCTGCGTGAGCTCCTGTCAGCTTCCGACCGAAGAACACGCAGCGGCCCCTATTCTCGATCGCTCCATTCGAAAGTTGTGCTCCTTCTTGACAAGCTTCTTGCGACTCTGCCTGAAGTGCGCGATTACTCAGAGGCCAAGAATCTAAGGCTTAAGAATCCCACAAGGGGTCAAAACTCAAAACGTCATGTCCTAGGAAAATAAATCACACGCTCCGGAATAGCGCTTACCTCTCGAATCGCTTCGTGTATGGCAAGTGCCTGGAGATTCGGAAAAAATATCAGCGGCTTATTGACCCGGGTGACATGGTCATGTCACCATGACCTTGTAGCCGGAGAAGAGACCCAGTATCCGCGAAACGGACCAGTGCACCAAGTGGATCTAGTCTCAGATCTAGAGTGCGCTTTCTTGCGTTCAGGCTGAAATTCGCCTCCGTTCTTCCAGCCTTCGTCCAGAGAAAGGCCATGGAATCATTGATTTATGCGGAACACGCTAGGGAGGCATCTAATTGTGAGAGAGTGTCCTTCAGGATTCCCTCGTCTGTTGGAACAGCACACACCTCGGAAGCCGGGCGACTACCGACTGGGCTTGAGTTTTGCGATAAAATTCGAATGCCGGCTCCAGTTTGCAGGCGAGGGAAGGTCGACCGGGGGTTCGGCTCCTCATGGTCAGGGTAGATTCGCACGGCCGGCTCATCGGCAACCCAGGAACATTACGGCGCCTATTGCCGTCGGATTCCACTTCTACATATTCTGCGATTTACCCGGGAAACTGAGTCGAATGATCCGATCAAGGTCGGATCGGTACGCTCTCGGGACCGGAACTCCATTCTCGGAAAATTATCAGACTACCTAATTCTATCCAACCACTTTCCTTGCAATCTTACATTCCGGCATCTTTCATCAGCCGACCCTTCCAGCCGCTTTGTACTCGGAAGGAGCCCTCCGCTGAAACCAGTGCATGCCCCTCTGCGCCCACAGAATTCCAACCTCACACATGGGATAGATGGGTGGAAGAAGGCCTGTCATGTCGATGGGTCGGCGGCAGGCTGTACCGGAGCTTACCCCTAAATTCTATGATGTGACTCATCATGAGGCCTATGAACACATCTTATCATTGATAAGACACCGTGAGTCTGAAGTCCCCGGTCGTTCTAGAAAAAGCGACCCTCCAATCTACTTATCGATTTTGGCCGCGACAACCACAGGCAGAAGAGACGAAGCCGCCAGGCTCGCTCAAACGGCAGTGTGTATCCGGAGCCTATGGATGACGTTAGGGCCTGGAAAGAGATCTGCTTCAGAAAATCTTTGGCGTTCGGGTTTTCGTGGCGCAATTTTCTCTCTGGTCTGGGCGCTGATTTATCTGGGCGGCTGATAGGTGATTTGGGGGGGAGCCCAATCATTCGAGCTGGATGAGAGTTTCCGGTCGAGAGCGGGAATCGCTGCCTCCTCGTAGAACATCCATTACCCAGTCGTAGATGAAAAACGCAGGAGACACACTTGCGTTGTTTCCTGAACTCGAGGAGCCTACTCAGATTCCATCGACCGAATCTTTCAACCTAGCCCTCGGATCAATCGCCAATGAAGAGTGAGAGGCCTGACAGCGGCCTCTCGCGCGCTGCGAAAACTCTGCAAATCCTGCAATCGAGATCACGCAAATCGTCTGAGCCGCTCATCGCGAAACACGCAGCGGATTTGGCGCGAATTCATGAAGCACAGCTAGCGCCACCTGACGGATGTTCTGAACCCGTGTACATCAGCTCGGAATGGGGTAGAGATCGTCCCGACCAACGCTCCCGGTACGGTGCTACTCCACCTCTTCTGAAGCGCAGCTCAGATAGAACGCTCCAACTGGGAGGTGCAAACAACAATCCGAAGCTCCGCACGCATCTGTGGATATGTCGGGTGATTTCTCATATATTTGCGCGGATCGTCTCTCAGGAGATCAGTCGTAGCCGTCGTATCGCGGCTCCCAGGGAGAAGGTGCCGAAACTCTCGAACTCGAGGTCGCATCCCTGACGGGAGCGATGGAGACGCTTCCGCTGGAGGTGAGTGTCTGCTCGTAAACTTCGCCGGTCAGGGGTCAGGATCCGGGACCGCATCCAAATTACTTTATCGAATTTCATTAATAAATTCCTCGTTTCTTGTGACGATTTGAACGGACATCCGTACGGTGCGTACCCTTCTGCGAGCTCCCAGTGATCGGCTGATCCACCTCCCAGACCGATTGCTTCGCGACGGGAATTGTTTGCCGCTCGAATATCGGAGGCATACCGCCACGCAGACCTCTCCACCTCTTAAATTTCCATTCCGCATCTATTTCCAGCTGCTCGAGCCGCTGCTTCTCTGTCTAGACCCGATCGATCGCGTTGACAAGGCTCTCATCTGCCATCGGTGGGCCGAATGCATGGTCGGATCGTTGCTGCTAGACAATGTCCCGCTCCGCCTATGTGGGAGCACACTGCTGGCAGACTTCCCCAGCTTGATGGAAAGCCGGCGTCAATATTCGCACCTACATCTGACTAGAGGTAATGACCATTGCCGGGGACGATCACGCGGAGGCAATCTATTGGGTGTGTTCCCGATGTTAACCAATTTAATCTCGCGCAGTCTCTCTATACGCCCTGCCTCCGGAGTTCTGGATGAAATTCGCGGGAAACCTCCTCAGCTTGCGGCTCATCGACTGCTGCTTCTCGAACCAGGCCCTGAGTTTCGTCCTCGGTCAGTGTACGAGACTAGAGTTCCTGGAGATCACTCGACCGCGGCTGTCCTCGAAATGTAGGTGGAAAATTTCTTGAGAAACATCGAGCAACTCTTGCTCAGTCTGATGGTGAAATCAGTGGCGCGCACCGCGATTGATCGACATCCCTCCAGGATTCTCCATCCAGCATCTAACGTGTTTTTCCTTGTCGCAGTGGGGCATAAACCTTATGGCAGAGGTCCGCCGCCCATCTCGTCAGCTTTCCGATTCAAGGAAGCAGCTGACTCCGATATCGGATCCGAGGAGGTCCGCAGAGTACTGCTCAATCTCCGAGACCTATCTCTGCACATCGACTTTGAGGATTGTTTGGGACTCGCCATGGCCTCTCGTTTGTTGGAGTTGACGCCGAATCTGGACTTCCTCCACCTACCATGCCGAGCATTCAGAGTGGTCCCTTACATTATTGCGAACCAGAAACGACTCACGAAATTGAATCTCCGTGCGTTCTCCTCCGAGGAACCAGGACTCGAAGAGCTTCTGAAGAGGATGTCGGGAACTCTGAAGGAGCTATGCTTGACCAACTGCGGTTCTGTTGTTCCTCGTACCTTCAACTCAGTCAATCAGTGTGTCCATTTACAGAAGCTGACCCTCATCCAACCAACGGAGCTTTCGGATAGTCAGATAGGCGATCTTCTTGCCAAGTCTCCACAGTTGACTTTCGTGCAGCTGGTTCTGGAAGTCGACCTCTCGGATGAGATCTTGACCCCGATAAGCAATCTGAAACACCTTCGCCATCTTGAGCTCGTTAATTCCAAGTCTTTGGAAAATTGTATATATCTCCAGTCCTTAGAGTCGACGCGCATCCGATGCGCCCCGAGGGTGTTGGAGACCATAACCGAGCTGCAAGATCTTCGAACCTTGATGCTGGTCAACTTCGACATCACTTCTGCATTCCTCGATAAGATCATAGAAAACTTACCATTGTTGGAGCATCTCCAAATAAACTGCCAAAGACTCGCCGATGAAGAAGGAGTCAAAATTCGACAACTGCAGCATCTGAGGAGCCTGAGTCTATTGGGGGCTTTGTTTTTCCACGACGAGACCTTCAGCAAGGGCCTGGGCTCGCCGGTCATGGAGAAACTCGAGCTGGAAGGCTCCCGTCTGACCGACCGAGGCTTCCGCAGTATTGTAGCCCATCACGGCCACTTGAGGAAATTGAAGCTCGTGAACTGTCCAAACATCAGCCTCAGTGGACTTCTGACTGCCCTTTCACGGGAAACTAACCTACACGAACTAGTGCTGTCCGCACGATTCGCTGATCACAATGAGAAACCATGGTTCCTTCGATCCCTCACAGATACATGTCCACGGCTTCGTGTTCTCCATCTGCTTCCGCTGCCATATCGGGAAGAAGCCGAGTTCCAGATGCTTTATCGCCGGACCTCCGCGGCTTGTTTCACACATTATAGCGAACCGAATATGAGTGAATTGGATCGGTCGTATTTCAACGATCTGTCATTTTGTCCATAGAATGAACCGAAACATGGGAATCGAGTCATCAAAGGTATCCGGGAAGCCGGAGCATTCATTTACTCCTAATATATATGAGTGAGCAGAACCCAAATGGAACTTTGTTTTGTAATATATTGTGTGAGGTACCGAGAGTCGTGAGTCTCTAGTCCTATGATGACCGCCCTTGACACAAAGGAAAGCTCATCCGTACGAGCTCCGAATAAAGTTTCGCCAAATGATACGTGCACAATAAGCGAGAGTTGTTGAGAGGTCAGAAAACAGCAATGAGCTCAGCAGTCATTCTCATTGTTCCGTCAATCCTCGGATCGGGATAAGGCTGTGAGAAGACAGGCATGGAGGGCACCGATGAAAGATTCACTTGATCGCATCATCTCGCCTTCACAGAATGTCGGGAACGAATGGAAGCAGCAACACCGGTCGGGCCGGAGGAAAAGGGGAACGGAAGTGAAGTATACGGCTTATCCGGTGAATATACCCCTGAGCACTGAAACGAGGCAATACGGGGAATCATTCAAACATAGATGTTCATCAAGGCCTCTTACAGATGGATCGATTGACCTACAGAAGCGTAGAGTGTCATTCATCGTCTGTAAATCAACATTCTCCATCTCAATCAGAATCGTACTCGGGGGGGGGGGCAGTTAAGAATCTTGAGATCCTCTCGAACCAGTCGGTCTCTATTCGCCTCGAATATCCAATGCGATTTTTGAGTCGTATTGGGCATTGAGTAATTCGATGCACAGGCATGGAGCTGATCCATCCGGGAGCTCTGATCTTCCGAGTCGTTTTCTCTGGACTTTGAATCGCGCGCTCGCCTCCGCACTCTGGTCTCCCTACACGGAGTCCTCCATCCGCCATTTTGATACGACCGTGTGGCCCAGAATCCAAGTCGAGACCGAGACCTCGGATTCCCGAGCGGGAAAGGTTCGGCTGAGCCTCCAGCAAGACGCGTCGACAGTCTTGGAATAAGTCCTCGTGGACGTCATAGAACCCGATTGAAGTCTGTCGGAGAAGGGTTGGATTGAGCTCAAGGAGATTGGGAGGAAGAGGGGTTTGTGTTGCAAGGACTACCCTCACCTGCGGACCACCCTCTCCACTGGGGAGCTCCTGGCGTCGGGATGGAAGCTCGTAAACTCCTTGAATTGGACATGGAGTTGGCGGACTGACATCGAAAAACTTCTACGCTTCTTAGACGCTTATCGCTCGCCTGCAGTCAAGTTCAAAATGTGGATCTCATACGTAGCCATACTCCTAGTGGCCCTTGGAGCGTCATCCGGGCGTGAATGGCAACAGCACGACCTCGAGGCTAAAAACGGTGAGCGCTTCTACATCTTCCGATCGAATGCGCAGCAGCTGATGGGCTTCGAATCCCTACGGAACTATCCGGATAGACGCGGATGCGTGGCGGTGTGACTTGTCGCTTACCGTGTTCGATATCGCCGGTTGAGCGTGGACTCTCCACCGCACCGGGAAAACCTTGTCTCGCGCTAGCGCACTCCGAACTCCCGGAGCTGTGACATCGCGGTTTCGGCTTCAGCAAGACTCGCCGGGCATGGGGGAGGAACTAGCGAGGCGCCGATTCAAGTTGCCAACGGGATATTCGCTCCACTTTTCAGATGAAACCGAGTACTCGGCGGAAAAATGTTCGCGGACTGTGGACATTTACCAGAGCGTGGAAATGCCCGCCCTCAGTCCGAGAAACCGTGGGAAGCCTCTTCATTGCGTCTTTAGGATTCGGGTCCGACCAGCCAGGGACGACTGGGTAGTTTTCGTGAGATTTACTCGCATGCGCATCGGGGTTCCCACTGACAACCGTGAATCCTGTCAAGGAGGTAAGCTGCCTAGCGTATCCGCGAATCCCAAAACCCGTTCGATGGACACTCCGGGCTTGAGTAATTTCTCCTCGACTCCAATCGTGTTCCCGTCTCCACCTTCAGGCTACATGCAGATCGTGGATGGCTACGCGAAGGAAACGAATATCTCCAACCGGGATTCTCCGGGCTTCTACTGTGGCGAGATCGATTCGCCGAAGACTTTCATCTCGGAGACACCTTACGTCAAGGTAGTCTTCCACGTCGACGCCTACGAAGTCGATACCTATCTTCAGTTCGAAGCTACAGTGAAGCAGCAGCAGGAGGTTGCCTCAAGGTTCGATATCTTCCTAGACATGGACGCTCGATTTATATCGACAATCGAGTGATTTATTCGTCGAGTGGGAACACCTTCCTTCCTTCCAGATACGGTCAATACTCGACCCTGTACCCTCACCGACGGGGTCAACCCGTCGCGAACACGTACTGCCATCGTCTATTCAAAGACTGCTCGCCGGGACGTTGCTTTGTACAAAGTCCAGCCTATCCGGGGATCTACCCCCGAGGCTTGGCCTGCAAGTACCGCATTAGCGTGCGACAAAGCCTCGTGGGTTTGGATCTGACTTTCTTCGACGTCGACGGTCTGCGTTGCGACAATTTACTCATGTGTTTTCCTCGGCCAATTTCGAAAGATTCGGAAGAATGTCCCTTCGATTACGTACGCATTTACGACGGACCCTCTGAAAAGCATCCGGTCATTACGAGTCTCTGCGGAAGGGGCCGACTCAAGTCCAACATTGTCGGCTCGAGCTCCGAAATGCTCGTCAGTTTCGTCACCTCAGCAGCGGGACCACTTCTGAACACAGGGTTCCATTTCAAGGTATTCCGGAAGGGAAAAGGAGCTTCGGCAGTTCGTTTTTATTCCGCAGAATTGCGAGATCCGAGGAAACTTCACTTCCTCGTTCAAGATGAACCGTGTCTCGAACAAAATATAAATTCGTTTCAATTTCTTTCCCCGAAGGCTGACAGCGTCTACGATTCGGGCGAGGGCGAGACCATCCAGTTGCACAACCAAGCAGATGGGAAATGTGTGATCCAGAGAGCTGTCTCATCCCAGCCGAGCACCTTCAACTCTATCCGCTCTTGGTATCCAAGCAACACTTCGTGCCAATATCGATTTTCGGCTCCGCAAGGTGAAATCATCCGGCTCGAGTTCACCGAATTCCGCGTCGAAAGGGTGACGTTTTGTTCCGAGGCCGTGCGCATTTACGACTCTGCAGAAGTTGATCCCCGCTTCATTATCACTAAACTTTGCGACACTAACCGACCGAGCACCGAAACCCCCCGCTCCGTCTATGAGTCGAGCTCCAACCGTCTGTTGGTGGACTTTTCGTCAAAAGTCGGCAGCCTTGACGGAAGCTCCATCACATTCTCGTTTGAGGTGCGCCACGTGCGGCCCACAATGAAACGCATCCCTGACTGCGGAAGGAGCAATGCAAACGGTGGGAAAGGTAAGCTCCCCATCAGTACGCCGATTCGGGGCTCTTACGAGCGAAGAGAATCCATGTCGATACCCTAGGGTAGGTCGTGGAGAGGATTGAGGGAAAAAATTAATTTCAGTTCTATGCCACAACTCTACGACAGCCGACACGTCTCAATCAACTGACGCTACGAGAGAACAGTGATCAGCTGCTTCAGGCTAACGGATAGAAATCAAATCCGAGTCCGCGGAAGCGCATAGGGTTGCGTCGAGCCCTCGGAGGACTCTCCGGATACAAAAAGGAAACGCTACAGGAATCGAAGAATTCCATCTAGACTAGAACTTCTCCTGCCTGAGGAGCACTTCTTCCGCAAACTTTCTGTCAAATAGCGTATAGATCAAGCGAACCGGAATTTCAAAGAATGAGAATGTTTCTAAGCGAGGAAGACGACTTGAGCGTCGCTCGAAGGAGGAACCAATGCCCTAGCTACCCGAGCCTTGGCCTCGTTCCCGGGACATCTAGCAGAAGGCGTCCCTGTTTCCTCCCGATCCGCCGGTGAACTGGTCTTATTCTAGAATCATTGAGTTCTTAACTGTATTTCCTCGTCTCACCAGTCCATTGATGTCGTCTGTGTCTCTGTCATATGTTTGCTGCGTGATTTTCTCTCCTCCGACGGTGTGTATCCTTCGTCGCTCCTTCACCGCTCGTCAATGGATCCCAAAGCATAAGTTCCGATGAGTCCGATCCCTTGAGGACTTTATCATGCAATGATTTGACCTAGAGAACAGGAGATTATCCGATTCTGCAGGACCTTTCATTCAATCGAGGAGGAGCTAATGGTGGGAGGCATCCTGTTGAGATCACGTATCCGAGTTAGTTTCGTAAAAAGAGTGAATAGAGGCTGGGATTTTCGAGTGGCGTCTTGCATGGCCGACCGCTCCGAGGCTTTTTCGAGGAACTTGAATAAATACGAACGTGTCATCGTTCCGCTCGTCGTCCTTCCCTCCTGCCGTACAACGTTCTTGTAAGTGGGTCGAGCCGGATGCTTCACGATTCATAAGCTTAGTCGGGCCGTCGTAGATCGCGCGACCCCTCTGACTGATCGAGCACGGTCCCTTCCTCATATTGACTCGGTCGAGAGGAACTTTTCCCCGAAACCCCTCTTCGTCTAATGAGAAGCTTGGCTGAAATTTGTCGGTCGAATGCCTTCGTGTCGTTCAGAGAAGCAGAGACTTCATTCAATCGACGACTATCGATTCAACGACTTATGAATACGTCCAGGACATGGCGATGAATTTTACTCGATATTCCGATTCCAGGCGTTCATTGGATGGGATGGATTGATAGAGGCTGGAAATTCCTGATTGTCTGAAATTCCAGACTCGGAAGATGATCTCGCTTGAATTTCGTCAAGGCCTAATACCGTTCCACATCGCCATCGTCGCAAGCATGCGATGAAGTCCCCTGTCTGCGTCCGATTTGTGCTCCATACGTCTCCCGGAGCTTCTCAGCGTTAATCGGCGTAGTGATACAACCTCAGTTGCACTCGCCCGGGAGCCATGGAATGAGGATCGAGTAGAGCTGTCACTGACATCTCGAAGATATTTATTTGCCGAACTCAATATTCAAGGCCGAAAGGGAAATATTTGTGGTTCTTCATCTGCGTGAAGGGTACCATGCGAATCCCTCTGTCGAGTGCGCGAAGTTTCGCCATGTCTTCCTGTGAAAGCTCGAAGTCGAAAATTTGTGCGTTGTTCAGGATACGCTCCCTGGTTACAGATTTCGGAATTACAACAATATTACGCTGGACCAAGAATCGCAGAAGAATCTGAAACGATCGGAATTTGAGCACGACTCGCCCCCAAGTTCTCTATCAGTAATTAAGGAGAAGGTATCATGATCTCGAATCGGCGCAGTGGTATACCTGTGCGACGCTCTTCCCCCAAGCAACAGCGATGCTCTTGACGTCCGGATGCTCCATGAGGATGGGACCATCGGCGTCGCTGCAAATTTCGAGGATCAGCCAAATTCACCAAGAAAATTTTCTCCGCATCTCAATGACTTGCTTTCCGTAAAATCCACTGGATGCCTTATCTAAAGAGTTCTTCCGCGAGGCACCACTCACAAAGGCTTATAGGGTCCAGCGAGAGGACAGTAGGCGGTCACCACGATTCCTTTAGAGTCGCAGTATGCGCAGAGTTTTTCTTGCTGAAGATATGCGTGATTCTCGATTTGATTAACGACCGGTTTCACGGACCCCTCCTTGAGCACGCGTTCGATTTGCTCGTGATTGAAATTCGACACTCCAATGCTTTTCACTTTTCCAGCCTTTTGGTACTGCATTGAAAAGATGAAGGTGAATGATTGCGACAGCAGAGAATCGATTGAAGCTTCACGAACTCCTGAAAGCTCCTCACCTCTTCCAAGGACTTCCAGACGTCCACATAATCTACGTCCGTCGAAGGGTAATTCCCATCTGCGTCCTGGGGGAAGAGCGGTCCGCCTTCTTGCCAACTGAAAGGCCAATGGATCAGATACATCGACGTAAGATCCGTGAGAGTTTTCTCCAAGCCTTTGGGTCGAAGTTCCTCGGATCGGTAGGTGTTCCAACACTGGAAGAAGGCATTGCATGTTGAACAGAGGATATGAGACGTCGGCGGGTACTAGCAGGCGTTTTCCAGCGAGAGCGAGCGCCGAAAAGAATGGATTCAGAAAGCTGCATTTTCGGCAGATACGCAGCCGCTCATTTCACCTTGCTCGTTATGAAGAGGTCTTCTCTCTTGACCACACCTTCGGCGATCTTGTCTTTGATCGCTCTCCCGATTTCAGCCTCGTTCTCGTAGGCAAGGGCACAATCGATGTGACGGTAACCGATGTCAATGGCGTCACAAACCGCCCGGTAGACTTCCCCTGTCCCCGACTATGGAGAAAGTAATTGAGGAACTTCAAGTCACGGAGCTTGACCTTGGTCCGGATCCAGTGCTCGCCCATCTCTCAAAACATTCAACAGACACTAACCTTATACGTGCCGAGACCTAGGAGAGGAATTTCATTCCCATCGCTCAATTTCACTTTCGGTATCGTGATGGGCATCTTCACGATTCTCGGAGAGTCTCCTTGAAGTCACGAACGAAATCCACGACAAGCTATTATAGGATTTTCGAAGGTTCAGCTCAATGAATTTGAACTGTCGTACCTTGATCCGATGGACCAGGTGAAGTGCAGGATGGTCCCATCGACAACCAGGAGTCTGCGCTGGTCCCACTGTGTTTGTCTATTTATGTATCTTCTCGCGGGGAGGGTTCAATCATCGCGCAGCGAACAATCTAAGCCCTATTGAAGTTTCTTTGTCCATCAGGCTGAGTTCCCAGAATAAATTGAATTTGATCTAAGCCCTCATTGATAGGGATCGAATAGAGGATTGAACTATAATCCGCGCATCCGGCGCGCTCGACTATCGAAAACAAGACAGGGTATGTCTAGACTCTGAGGCTGCTTTTGAGTTAGCGTAGTAGCGAATGAAAGCATCTATTCGCGACGCACAACCATCCTTGACTGAACCCACTCCATTCCGCTAGCGTTATGGAGCTTTCTTACAATCATTGTTGTTTCCTAATACGGGAACGATGAGTTCAGTATTCCCGAAGATTATATGTCAGAGCGAATCTCCGACGTCACGGAAGGGTCGATGATTCACGCTCAATTCCCCCATCTGTCTGACAGAATTCTATCCCCGTGGAAAGCCTATGAGATATCTGGAATGCGTGAGGGGCGGGTTGTCTCCGAATCCAAGAGAGACTCCGTTCCGCACGTCAGAAGAATGCTCGGGCGATTCCCATCTTCGAGCCGTGTGAGGTTTCCAAGACATTTATTCGATGTATGATAGTTTCGATTTACCTACGTATCCATGTAGTTTCAAATGGAACGGAGAGTCGCTTACCTTGAGAATTCAAAAATGACGAGAGACTTCCTTCGAACACCGAGCCCTCACAGTCGTGTTGCCGTTTTGGAAGGTCGCATTTTACCCACTGAACGGATGCCCTCTCCAGATTGACGTCGCAAAGAACAATGACGTCCCTCTAGCGTCGCGTTTTGCTGTTCGGAAGCGGTGGTAATCGTCTGCTGACCCGGTCGAAGGTAGGCAGAGACATAGCTCCGGCATTTACCCGATCGTTCGCGCGCGAAAACCGATTGATCTGACCCCATTTTTCAAGGGGAATCTGGCATCGACTGAATGTAAGATTAGAGCATTTTGGACTGTTTTCGCTTGTGCAGAATATTTCCGTTCACCTCTCCCCAGATCTGAGTCCGTTAGGATTGCTAGCCCGGGAACGGCTCGCCGTGGGTTTTTTTCATGTGAAAGGCTAGGAAGCTGAGGGATACCTCTGACTCAGATCTCAAGCCTCGTTCCGAAGAAGAAAGAAACTATCCCAGACAATCACGCTTCTCGTTAAAAACGTTTATTGAACATTTTTTTTGACATATATTATCTTCATTATACAGCTATATATTAATTCTCGTTCGCTGTCGTACCGGGTCAAATCTGACCGACCGAACTATAGGCGTCAAACGGCAATAATTTTATCATCAATGATAGAAACACTGCTCATCAAGTTCTGCGATTGGGATAATCGACGACTGGATCGATTTTGGACATCGGATCGTCATGAGCGTTTCAAATTCGGTGAAGTTTCAGCGTAAGGGACACCTAAGGCGTGCCTTCTCTTCGTTCACTTTCAATTTTCCATCCTACAATTCTATCACAGCTATATACATATTTTTACATTGGCGTATTTAATCTCCAACTGAATAATGTCTCCAGTCCGCGTTCCAAATCTTCCTCTGGATTTTCGCCCTTCGGAAGAGATCGGTTTTCGCGTTCGCTGACCTTAGAATAAATGACATCACAGAGGCCATTCCGGGATCGTGAGCCCTGGACTCTCGCTGGTTCCGCGCAGTTCAGGGACCGTTTACTTATTCGTCGACTGATCGAGATCTCGATCGGAGTCAGCACATATGTGTGTGTGTGTTCTTTTGGGAGGAAATAATCTACGACGAGAAATAATTATAATCACTCGTGTTATTGCAACTGCCATTCAAGTCTTTCGTGTCAGCCTTAATTAGGCTGTGGGTACCAGGGATTGCCACCTGCAGGAGAAAGGATCGCGTTTAAATTCTCGGCCGTAGAACCAGCTGATTGTGAGAAAGTCGATTTCCGAGGAGCCCTTGACAAATTTTCTTCTTCCGCGAGAGACCGCGGACAGTGGCTGGCTTACCTGATAGGTGGTGATAGAGTTGTGGCTCTTGTATGGGTGAATAATCGAGACTGGGATGCACCAGTACTTGTGGCCGAAGTGGCAGTTCATAGGGATGCCTTTGCATGGAGGGAAGAGTTGGAACAGGTGTCATCATGCTCAAGTTATCCCTTCCCGTTGTGGGATAGGCTTCGTAGCCATTGTAGGGAAGCATGAAGTCCCCTCCATGGTAGCTTTCCGAAGGAGCCACATCGCCGTACGGAGTGTACGGAGCACGTCCGTTCGTCGCTTGATTGGAATTGCGAATCACGGTTTCTCGGTTAACGTACAGTTGTCGGAGCAGAGAAGAAGTCGCGGTAGACGGAGCAGCTGTCGGTGGCGTTCCTGAGGGGGTTAATTATTGATGTCAATCTAGTCCCGGCTGCCCGGCTCTCTCCTGCTAAAGCTCGAAAGCGGAACCCGGTCGAGTCCGGGGAAAGGCTGAGGAGAGCCAGAAAAGCGTCCTCACCTATCCATTGGATCGTGGGCGGCTGAGCCAGTTTGTTGTTGTCGACGGGCAAGTGTTTTTTCATGGCATCCTCCAGATCTTTGACATTGCTGTCGGCGTTCTTCCATGGTCTGGAGAGCTCCATTTCTTTCTTCTCCTTACCGCCCGCGCAGTCTGGTGATTCAGACGATGGAGGCCGCTTTCGACTTTTGCTGCTCGTGTTGCTGTTGTACTTTTTGCGACATTTAGCGTCATCGAGCACTTCGTAGGTTAGAGGACTGGATACCGGATCACAAGCAACGTCCTGAAAGAACTCCTGCCCTGTCAGTGATTCATGGGCGTGCAAAGCTCTCTCGGTAGGTAGGCAGGCGGGCCGGCCGGTCGACATCGGCCGATGCCGACGCCAGTCAAGGTGTGAGACTAACTATTCACATCGGTTGTATTTCCCGTCATCAATATTAAATAACTCACTTTGACGGGTTCCAGTTTGGAAACTCCCGAGATGGGCAGAGTGCTCAGCGGTAGAGGATCGGGAAGAGGTTTTGGCAGTGGAGAGGGCGTCGTGCAGTCCCGTTTCAGGGGCGACGGCTCCCGATAGCCCGGCACCTGGTTAGCATCCATCACAACGGATTCGAATTCGGACGCTGAGATGACGTAGTTTACACAAATAATGCTCTGCTCTTCTTGGGTTGATTGTTTCGAGGCACAGATCACGGTCGCACAAGTTTGCAACCAGCTGTAGCCTCCGTTTTTGTTCATTAACCGGTAGTAGCTGCTCATCGATTGACCTGAATAGAATGTCACCGTATGGATTCGAGTGTGCTCGAGCCCATATGACCCGATGATATTTATCCTCGGATGCTCGTTGCAATATTTTTCCGCAGAAGCTCTCGGAGCAAACCTTTTTGCATAATGTCCATGTGTAGCTGTCGAAGCTTATGTACATCCTGGGCGTGTACAAGCCCGTAAAGGCTCCGGCCAGTAAGATCGTCGGCGGAATAGTCGAGTAACTGGTGCACCCTAGGCTCGCAATGTGATACCCGAAAGTCAAGATTGACTCTCGTCACGAACATATCGCAGCCCAGTCGGACTTCGTTCACCGAGGGTGGTGGGAGGGCTACTGCCAAACTCACCAGACCTGAGGAGGGAACGGGAGGTTTTAAGGAGGGTTTCGGGAGGACTACCGACTCTCTGTGAGGATCATGGGACAGCTCGTCTTGGGGTGAGTTCATGCCGCACTCGTTGCGAGTCATACCCAATAATGTCAACGGTTCGGAATATCCCTTCGATTATTATGGGATAATCGAGACTTGAATTTGAGGTGAGACGCTGGGATTGCGAGCACTTACCCAGAACGGGTTGAGTTTTTACTCCATTGACGGTAGACGTATAAATGGTTTGTGGTCGGAGATGACACAACACCAAGACAACCCTGTAGCCAGAAGACTTGAAATGGCAGCCTCTCTTAGTGAGTGTCGATTTCATTCGAATACAGAAAGATCTGTCGAGACCTTGATAAGCTGTGTGTGCGCCCGCGTGCATAGTCGCCGCTGAAAATCGAGAGGGTGAATGAGTTGGCTGCCGACCAACGTCTGAGTTCGGCGTGTCTGAACGTGACGCATGACTCCGCCGGCTTCTGGCTTCAGAGCGATGCAAGCGTCGTAACCGGCGCCGCTCGGGAATCGATTCTATGGAAGACGAGACGCAATCGATCCCCTTCGGTAATGATGGAATGGTCAAATGAGGCGCGGCGAACAAGTTCTTATGGAATCGACCCGTTCACAGTATTTCACATTCGGAGCAGAGGGAAAGAGCGTGTGAAGCACCTCAATGATCAGGAGCGCATTCTTTCTCGAATCAGCTGCGACACTCCCGGTTCTAGCTCTAAGGGAATACGGAGTCTGACGACAGAAATTCATTCTAATTGACCAGGAGATCTTGAAGCATCCCGCCTTGATCCTATTCTCTATGGAGTCGCCCAGTCTATCGGTATCCTCCAGTGAACAGCAGAATTCGATTCTAAGAGAGGAGAAGATGGAAAAGTTTTCTCCGAATCCGGAACTCAATTCTAGGAAGTAGTCGGCAGTCTCCCGCGGAAAATCGTATTGCGGGAAATTTAAGGGCTAGAGGCTTCCCGCCGTGGGAGAGGGTTCGCCCGGAGATAAATGGGAGGAGCCGAGGCAAGCAGAAGGAAAGGGATCGGCGTATGCATAAATTGCCGAGACGGACCTGCGTCCCAGCGAAGCGACTTCTTCTCGCTTCCGATCCCGAGTACATGAGCAAGCATCAGGAAAATTTCGGAAATTCCAGGAAGATATTATTCGGAAAGAATCGAATCCGATTGAGATCCGCAGATCTGGAATTCCGGAGAGGAACTCACCGGGTCGGTCGCAGGATCCGTCGTCGGAGTTCGCGGCGCTCCCCGGAGGCGAATGTGTGGCGGCGAGTCCCAATTGTTCGCTGATTTCCGAATGATCTTGCTGATGAATGTAGTCGAAAATGCTCGATCCGGTCATTTCAACTTGCGAAAGTCCAAGGTAGATGGAAACAGTTTCGGAAATGTAGAGAAATCGTCCGTCTGAAGCGAGCACGAACGCGAAGCCGTCCAAGGACTGGAGTATATGCGTTCCCTGATGCTGTTCGAACATTTCGGTGGCGACCGATCGCGACGGACGTAGGGGACTTGCTGCAAGAGAATAAAACCTTCAATACCAGACGAATCGTCCCGCGAGCGTTCAATGGAATAATCGTCGAGAAGTAGATTTCTCAATGGATTCTTGGAGTCTGAGGGGATTTCGAGCCCCCTCTGTTTGCTGCTCCGTTAGCCTCTCCAGACTCTCCTAGGTCGAGATTTCAATGTCATTGTTGTTCTTGTAGACACTGCCGGAGCCAGCCCGTATCGGTGCTAGAGCGAACTCTATTCTGAAGTGGTCAGACGCTTGACTTGCTCAATTTACAGCCGGCTCAGACCAAGTCCGGTCAAGTGGCCAAGCAATGCAGAGCAACAGTAAAAAAAGAGAAGTAGAAGTGCGCCGAGCAAGATGTCAGCCATCAAAAAGCTCACGCACTGCTCAGAAGCCACTGGTCTCTTGAGACAAGCGGTCGAATGGTCGCTCGCTCGGTCAAAGGAGGTTTTCGCTCTCAGGAGGACAAGGATACTCACGCCTGAGGCCTCTTCAACGCAAAGCCTATGGAAGCGACTGTGCTGGCTGTGGTTGGCTGTGGATTATTTTCGATAACTATCCCGAGGGAAACGCCTAAAAAGACGCTCGCTCGCTCCTTGCACCACACAGGGCAGGTGTTGTGATGAGCGCGTTCCGCAGATCGGAGGCCGGAGACTGTCTGATTGCATTGCCGGAGGTGACCAATACCCGCTGGAGGAAATGTCGTCGAGCTATAACTTCATTCTCCGACACAGATCGAATGTGCCCTTCGCGACAGCTCCAGCTTCAGATCGAGGAATAGTGAGAAGTTCGAGCCGCGACGTGGACGCTTTCTCCGTCGATGTCTCTTCCGAGGTCGGAGTCCTACGTCGATGATGGGTCAGTACTCTCGGATTTCGCCCCCCTCGAGCGAAAATCCAAATTTTTTATCGATGCCATCATTTTTCATGATGGAGGGAGTTTCTCCTGGGCAGCTTGTTTTCATTTTCATTTGTCAACATCTTGACAGCCATGGGTTTGAGCGAAGGACGAAATCATCGTGCCGCAGTTGCCACGGGCTGCAACGGAAATGTGTCTTCTTCTCGAGTTGGTAGTGCGTACACGTGTCAAAGAACAGTCGATGTTGTGTTGCTGCATCAGATGCCGAGTGAGATAATCAAGGCTCGACCTCATCAACATTGGTTGGAGAAAAAGTAGCCGGCCAGCCTATAGATGAGCTTTGCGCGCTAGGTGCAGTCGACTGTAGTTGATAAAGTGGACCAGTGGAGGGTAAGGACGAGACCGACCGAGGAAATGAACCACCACTGGCGCTACCGATGCCACGGTCTCTACCGTCGTCGTCGTCGCTGCAAAAGCACTTCCTCGTACAGCTCACGTATAGCCTGCTAGCTAGCTAGCTAGCGAGCGAGCGGGCGAATTCCCTCCTCCGTCCAGTCGAAACCCCAAGACTACGGTGCTCCGATGAGCGAGGAGAGGAAAGAATGCGCTGACAAGGAGCCGTCGTCTTCACGAGCCAGTGGTTAGGCAGGGTGGATGTTTGTTAGTTTAGACAAAAACTCTCAGTGGACAGGCACTGGTCTCTGTCCAAGCCAGCGCGGTAGGCCGAGTCGGGATAGAGTTTCCGCAGGAGGGCCATAGGAACGTTGTAGGTTACCGTTCGTTCCACTTTTCTTCCTCAACCCTCGAGCTCTCCGATGGAGCCTCGAGTATTTTTGAGATTTCAGGTCTCGGAGAAAAGCTAGCAATCAGATAGAGAGCTATTTCCCTCTCGGGATCAGTGCATCCTGCGTCATCTGAAGGCGCGCCAGACTGGACAATAATTTGCGCCAATCCGAAAGCATTTTAAACAAGCTAGCGTGCCGCTCGCCATTCGAAGCCGAGCACCGAGGCTACGCTACGCGAGAGCGGTCTTAAGTCGTCCGACAAGCACCCTTATTATGAAATGATTGCAAATCCATGGGTTGGCCCTATTAAGAGTGCGCACCACCTGCCCCTCCTCCCTAGATACTAAATTTGATACCGCTAAACGGTGTCCACGACACCTCGGCCTCTCTCGTGGCCATGGGTGCTCCCACGGCTGTTTCCTGAATATTCCAGCGGGTTGGATGGTGCTTCAAGCTCTGGACGATGTACGCTGTTCGTGTGGAATAGAATGTCTCTGAACTTTAAACGAAGAGGATTATCAGGGAATCGGCCGGGTCGGAGGTAGACGAGTACGCGTCGCGAATTCATAGCTCATGCGGTCAAATGGGGCAAATCTGTTGGCTGCACGAGGCGATCTTTTTTGTTGGTTCAGCGATAAATGGCATCACAATCAAGCAGAGTGCTGCGGTTTCTCTGATATAGAAATTTTTGTTCGCTGGCTCGCTCGCCTGGCTTTGCCGACCAGCCGGCTGGACAGCCAGTCAGCGTCGTCGACACAATTAATGGACATGTGTAGCCAGATATGGGAACGGCACAAATGATTCGGATGCGTTCTTGGCGCTGAACAACACCGGAGCTTCTACCTACTTCGCGCCGTAGCGATCGTGCTGATAATGTCCGTCGAGTGACCGCAAACGTTGTCAAAGGTCCACGAGTCGCCAGCCGATGGAAAACACGCGCGAAGCTCGCCGGTGGCTCTTGGAGGTCTCTGCGCAGAACCATTCAAGTCAGGGCATGAAAATATGGCAATTTCAGCTGAAATATCGAAAGCCACTCTAAGGCCCCGCCCTGGGTCACCATAGAAACATCACGTAAGCGCTGTGTTTATTTGTAATTAACCGGCGACCCCTATGACCCACACGATGATTCCAGCTTCGGCTTGAGTTTGCACTCCGCCTCGAGTACCGGTTCGTCCTCCAAAAATCACTCCGTGCCGTACTCTCCTCGAACCCGCCCGAGTCCCACATCTCCGGGAAGGGAGGGGAATATCACAGCATCTTTCAACAATGATAGAGATGATCCGGATAAGTTGAGGACGGTTAACTGATCGGAGAAGGCGATGGCCGGATTCACTTAGCTTAGGCAAAGGGAAGAGCGGCGGTGGTGGCGGCAGCAGCACAATGAGTACATGCAGGGAGGGGGATACTAACTCCTACTCCGTTCATTCTTCTTTTGGCCGAGTAATCCTCTCCGGAACAACGTCGCGAAGATTCGAGTGGACGGTTATTGTTTCCAGGAATCGAGTATAGGGCGGGCAGGACTTCCACGAAGACCAATTTAGAGTGGGTAGCTAGGTGTGTTGGCGGAGGTCGTCGGGTGGTCGGTGGCTTGACGCCTACTCGTCGACCCACAGCCGCCGATCGCTACGATCGAAAGTGAGCGAAATGAATTCTGCGCTGCAGTAGTGGGAGCTCATCCAGGTTCTGGTCACTAAATCGGTGAACCATCCGGAACTGGTTTTCTTGTTTGGCATGCCATCCGAAAGATTCTTCGAGGTCCAATCTCAACGGGTAGGGGGTAGGGGCAATTGAGCATGATGCGATTATCCGAAAGTAACGTGCGAGGTGCATGGAGGTGATAAACAAGATTGCAATCGATATGCTGAGAGGCGCATGGTCGCCATCTGCTGGTCAGCTCCTTGGCTACCGATAGATTTACAGCTCGCTTGGCGTTTGTGAGTGGGAGTACGAAATGGCTCATGAGTGTCCGTTCCTCTAATGTTAATGTGCAAATCCAATGAGCCGTCAGTCGTAATGCACGATTGCGTATTGGATGTAAACACTAGTTTGCGTAGGGTAATGACTTTACTGCGGGGGCGTGCTGCAATACCGCGATCACCTCTCTGAGAGAAACCTGCCGATTTCCTCGGGGATCCGTCGGAATCAGGGAAGCCGTCCGAGTCGGAGAACTCATGTCCGAGAACCCCGAAACGAAGCCAAGAACCGCGGTCCCAAGCCGCGACTTGCGTCTCGAAACATATGAGGGATCATCCGAGCGGGATTGTGTTGACACAAATGCTCTCTGTGAGGCAGATGATGGGCCATGGCACTTATTTCCGTGACTCTCGAGCCCTTTATGAGACACCTCAATGATTCCGAGCAGGAGAAACGATCGGATGATGATCTATATGTGTTCCTATCGGTCGAGAAGTGGTGCGAAAGCCGCTGAAGGCAATAAGTCAATGGAGCTTGCCGAAAGCGCAATGAGCTGCTACGAGGGGCTTTACTGAATTCTGAATTAGGATTGCGAAGGTGGAAATCTGCAGTCAAATTTTAGGGAAAGATTCGCTCCGAGCCAAATCCCCGACACACGTTCCCTCCGGATAGGGAAATGAAGCGACGAGTGTCAGCGAGGGGGTGGCGGCGACTCGAGCGGAGCTGGCATCACAGAAAGCGATCTGAAGAGTGTTTGTGGGGGAGCAGAAACACCCTTTGTTTTTCTTTAGTTCTCGAGAAGAGTCCTCAGGCCTCAATCGGATGTTCGCATTGTCAGTCGGTCTGTCCGTCCGTCCGTCCGTCAGATTGTCTATCTGTGTCCCCGGATCCGAAGTCGGGGCTCGTCGCTGTGATCCGAGTCTCGAATCGAGAGGCTGTGAGATAGGCTGAACGAGAAGAGCAAGAAAAGTCTGCGTGGAAGCTTACCCTTGAGGAGGTGCTTTTCGTGCGGAGGAATCCACGGCAGGTCAGAGTTGTGCGAGAAGTCGCGCAGCTTAAGGTACGAGATGGTGAGACGAATAATCGAGGCCTTATCGAGCTGACTGGTGATTGCCGCGGGAAGCGGCAGCAGTTTGGCCAGCTCGTAAAATTCGAAGTTTTCTTTCCCTCTCCGCGACCTCGCCGCATCTCGGCTTTTCTCCTTGCGCATCTCCAGGATGCTGTAATGAAAGATGCGTATGTTGTTGGTGAATTATTCACGGATCATTCTACGAGCTGCTCCGTGAGCTCTAATATTTTGTCTGTCCGCGATTGGTGTAAAATCGGCCGCTCAGAGTCCACAGTCATGCTGGACATCATTCAGATTCGGGAGAGAATGAGAATATCTCAGATTCGAACGATCTAAGTCACGCTGTGCTGTGCGCTGGCGCAAGAATTGCGTTCCTTCCCTGAGATATCCACCTGGGTCGCCCCTAACCGACGCAAGCCGATTAGCGGAACGAAGTACTCGAACGATACGCAGCACGTTCACTCGCTTCCACCAGTTAGTCGACGGGCGTGGCGATGGCGGCTTACTCCGCCATGCAGAATGGAGCCGAGCACTTTGGTACGCGAGTAAAAGCAAGCCGGCCAGTCGGTTACCACACGAGCGAGCGAGCGAAGCTCACCGCGTCGAGTACATGACGCTACGAACGCCGCTGCGAATGTTGTTACCTCAATAAAACACTTAGATCCCTCCGGTGAGCTTTTCTAATTGAATTTCTCAAAGTAGCTTCTCATTTTATGTTGAAGTCCGCTCGCCTTCTACGCGAATTCACTGCTGCCACTTGAACTACCTCTCCGACTCGCGAGCCTCATTCAGAGCTGGTTTGCTGCTCCAAAAGGAAAACACGCCATGTATTGCGATCATAACTTCCAATCTTTACCTTCCGACCGCCGACGTTTGACAAACTCCAAAACATTGATTGAATTAGACGCAACGAATATTTACGCGTTCCCGTCCTCCGAGTGAGTGGTGGTCGCAGCGACCACCACCACTCTCCAGAGTTACACCTGTACCGTGCGGTGCCTAAACAGATTTGACACATCGAAGCGAAGCTACAGACATCAATTCTGACCGAATGAGAGAAAGGAAGAAATGAAGCTCCGGAGCGATATTGAGTCGTTACCCGTTGGGCTGCGTTGAAATATTGCCAATAAGTAAGTAGGTATATTTTTGGTGCCGGGAGCTTAACCCCCATGCGATTTATCTCTTGCGGCTTGATGCTGCTCCGCTTGCTGCCTATCGCCTCGTACACCGAGGAGAACACATACACACTTCTTTTTTTGTTATTGGATAAAAGTGAAAATAACTTATTTATCCCCCAAAAGCGGGACCGACCGCGCCGAGAGTCTCACAGAGGATGCCTCGAGTCTTCGATAGAGCCTCGGATGTCGAGGCTGAGACTCTGGCCCGAGTAAGTTGGGGTTCTCGGTCCAATTGAACTTCTACACTTTGCCAGCGGGAGAGCGTTTTTACGCCGGGGGATGAGCCCGCTACAAGGCTTGCAGTCCGGGGGAGCTTCTGTCGCGAGAGACGGCTTCGAGTCCGAGCCCTAGAGCGCAACCACCTCACCCCATGGCAAACCGATCGGCTGCGCCTCGAATCAGTCTGAATATGTGAGTAGACAAACCAGTAAAAGTGATATATGCCGATCGAGTGCATGTTTTATCTGGGAGCAGCTCACTGCACAGATTGACCTGCTATGTATGGGAAATCATAGGCGGACTGTTGCACATTCGTCGTATGTTGCCAACTGATAGCTTGCATCGCGAGAGCTGCCGGTTGGTAGCGGAACTCACTGAAAATGAGGACTCGAGCTTTCGAAAATGATTGTGAAGTGTCGGCTCTGGAATCTTCGGTAGCTATTATACGAGGACTCCGAGGAGGGAAATCCTCCCAATAGAGTGTCATGAGTCTTCACCGACGTTTATGGTCAGTGTATATTTTACGACGATCCATCGCCTCGATCCGGTGGAATTTTCCGCTAAATAAGGTCAACTGCAGAATAAAACGATTGCCCGGGAAGAAAGAAAGAAGGAAGGAACACGGCGAGCATCTTGAGTCTGGCATCCATAATTAACAGAGGCCATTGACAACAATGCGACACGGTTCTCCTTTTAGCAAATCTCCTACGGGACTCCTACACTAAAACTCTCCCCCGGTGACTGGGCTCGGGCGGCTTATACTCAAGGCTGGTGGCTAACTTGCCTGGCTACCGCTTGCTTGCTTGCCCGACCGACCGACCACCCGCTCGCCCGCCTACGAAAGAGATAGCAGCCTCTCTACTGATATTATGCTTAATTACAATAAGTGGCCAATGATACCGACGGAGTAGCGGACGGACAAAGACACTCTCAGAGAGCGACTCGTTCGCTTGACCGGCAGGCGGGTAGCCAATGGACTCGGCCCGACAGACAGACATTGTCAGTGATAAGCTCGGGATTCTGCGCTGAGTGACCGAGAGTAGCGGGCACGGGGTAGAGGGCGAGATTTTATTACTGGTCGCTTCACCTGAATCGCCTGCATCTACTCGAAATGTCGTCATCGGAGAATTCCGGCTTCAAAATCACATGGCTGTGCGCTGTGAGAGCCACGCTTCAATTTCGGTATCCGAGACCTCGGAACGAGGGGGATCGAAGTAACCGACGAACCGAAACATTTTTGGTGAAACCAAATTACGGTCGAGGAGTCCTCGAGTGCGAAGAATATATTTCATCCTTTGTATACGAACCGAATCCACGACGACCAGTGAAAAAACAGGAACTGGGACTACGTTCTGTCTGCGTTCCTGGTGACACCCGCCAGGGCTTCACGCTCTAATTTCATCCCTTCCATCGCAGATGTATCTCTCAGCTGCTGCGATCGGGCGGACGTCGTTGTTCGCACCTGAGACTGTCGATTACGGTCACTGTCCACTCATTCATCTTCTTCGTCCATCTCATTCATTTGTCTTCATGAAGCGCCTGGACGTATGGGCTATACATTTTTTCATGATATCATGCTAAGGTAGTGCCTTCGGGGTCCTCATGCGTGTTATACCACGGTCGCGATATACCCGACCACGAGCCGAAGAGCTGTGTCATGAGGCCTGCGTTAAATACGACATACGCCAGATTGACCTAGCGTGCGACCGAAAGGACGAACGAGCGTCCTTCGGTCGGAGCGTATGAACGACGATTGCAATATCCCTGATGGTCCACAACGCACCGACTCCAATTTAGAGGTCCCTTGAGTACCACTGCTACTACTGGAATCAGCACAATCTAGATATCCGCGGATCGAGGTAGCTGTTTGCCAATAAAAGTTCTTGATGGACAATAATAAAGGAACGAACAAACAAACACTCGGTGAATCTCGCCGGGCAGGTAGGAGCTGATTCCGCCGCACCTGCATTGTGCCTACACGAGCACGATGATATCCGATAGCTGCTATGCGGTGACGGTCGTCGCGCGGGGACCAAATGAGGAGCAGCGGGCTCACTCACATCTCGAGCGATCCATTCACAACGCCTCAATCGTACAATACTTTGTACACAGAGCATTCCCGGAGGATACGTCGTCATGGGAGGGTGGGGCAAGGGTCGAATGGTACGCAAAGAGTAAACAAAATAGGAGAAAGGACGCCCGAATAATCGACGTTCATCTCATGTGACTTTAGCCGTGTGCAAGATTGCCGGAGGCTTCTTGTTGATTGCTTGCGCCCATAGTAAAGATGCCAACAAATAAAGAACCGCGGCCCGGGCTCCGAGCGGCTAAGTAGCCATCATCCGACTCGGCCGACATAGATGCTGCTGCCGCCAACGCTGCTGTATCTGATGGTACTGCGATTGCCGGTCCACATTGTTGACTACGATATATCGGGGAAGAACCCCAGCGATGTTTACAACCTCGTGAGGTCACGCATCACGTGTGTATTATCGCGACGGCCGACTAAGCAGATATTTATAGACGGCCACTTAGTGAGTGAGCGACAGCGTTGGCGACATCGACGACAACGATGAAGACGCCGACGACCAGACCTGGATCTCCAGCACGGAGTCGGCTCTCCGAGCGCGAGCCAGAGCCGGAAACTTTCCTCACGCTCAAGTGCTCTGGTGCTCCTTCGGCATTCCATCATCAGATTTCTTTGCCGAAGAAGGAAAATCCGGTGCTCTCTGTTTATTGAGTCGAAGTCGTCACCTTCATGCCCGCGGGTCCCGATGATGACTCTGATATCATAGTCCGTCAGAGTTCTGAAGGATCGCTTTGCGCGTCACTGGCTGGTCACGAACGCCCCCCACAAGCGATCGGACCGACGGATAGACGGGCGAGCGAGCGAGCAAGTGAGCAAAACTAGCGGGAAATGACTCGTGGAGAAGAACGAGCAGAACGGCATAGAAACTCAGGCGCAGGGCTTGATCATCTGTCGCTCGTCTCGTAATTGGCTACCGTCAGGGCGTGGGGCAGGCAGGCGGCCGGTCGGTCGCCAACCGACCGACCGGTGACCGTCGGACGAGCCTACGGTGGCCGAAAAGAGCACGAAAAAAAGCATACGGAGGGCGCGCTGGACTCGAGCAATTAAACAAATCCACGCTCGAACTCCCGGTGCTGAGTAGAGGCAGATGATTTTTCCAGCTCTCTGCACACAGGCATCCGTGGCAGTCATGCTTTACTAGCGTTATCGTCGCAGAACGATTCTCATTCCTGAATCATCGTCACCAGTAACATCAAACGGTACTTGGCTGGCTAGGAGGGTACGGACTCGGTACGAGGTTGCGGAGCCCGAGCTCTGGCTGTCGTTTAGGGGTGGCTCCCTTCTCATGTGTAGTATACGTCTGTCATGATAGTGAATCCGTTATAGCGATGCCGGCGCACAACGCCCTTCGCGTCGTCGGGGGATAAAAGGTGAGGTAGAAGATTTGAACGGGAGCGGTACGGGGGGAATGCCTTTCCGAGGTAGCCTTTAGGCCGGCTCACGTCGGCGTAGTAGTGGGAGCACTTCCTTTGCTAGCTCTGAGGAACAAAGCTCTCTCGACTCTCAGTCGAAAGTACTCTCGGAATACGTGATACTCTCGAGAATGATATTTGTGAAGGAAACGACGCGAGGACTTATCCTTTCCCGATGTCGATCGCGAGAAACCCCATCCGAGAATATTCAAGTCCGCAGCCAGGAGCTTCCTTGTGCCGGTC